CTTCGGCCTCCTTCCACCGCCCTTGATTCCTGTACGTCGACGCCAGGTTGGCCATGCTCGTCAGCGTGGAAGGATGCTCCTCGCCTAGCACCCTCAAACTTGTGTCCTTGATTTGCGCATACAGCTCTCCGGACCTTTTCCATTCTCCATCGGCGTCTAGGCTCGCAGCACATTTCCATATAAGGCTTAACTTAGTACTATTGTCTTCATCAATAAGTCCAACATTCAGCACACAAGTAGCATGTGGCAAAATTCTTCTCCATTTGCTTCGATTCCAGTGGTTATGGTCTGGAAACTTATTATTAAGTTGGATTATAGATATCTCACTCCACTGGCTTAGCGAGTTTTCTTTTCGAAGCCAGTTTAATGTTGCCAAATTTATAAGTTGATGTATGTCTAGTGCTGATTCAGCTGGCCGTCTGATGATCATTGAATAATTGGAGAGCATTTTAACAGCATCTTTCTCGGCTTCGAACGACTGACCCCTGGGTAGCAGAAAGAGTGGAATATCTCTATGGTCTATGCAAGCCATAAAAGACAAATATTCAGCCGCCAACTCGTTCTGCTTGCGGATTTGTTCAAATGAGATGAGCCAAGGCGCAACCAAAGGGTGCTTTCCATCATGAGCCTGCCATTCGTCCTTAAGCTCTTGACTGATGAATTCAACTGTCTTTTCATCTTGTAACCGTAAGAGCATCCGATACTCTTTTATGGTTAAATTATTGATGCTAATATAAACTGACACCAATACAATAGCCAGGGGGAAGTATGTAAGCTCTTTCAACAATAGATTGGCTTCCTGCTGCTCATTGGTCAAATCCCGGTTGGACAAGTATTTGTTAAGCATCATCCAGGCTATTCCCGCGTCGATCTCCGGCATCTTCACCACATTCTCCTGTGCTAACGTCTTGGCTGTTTTCTCGTTGCGCGTTGTAAAGACAATGCATCCTTTTTTAGAGGCTGGCAGGTTGTCAATCAACCTGCCAGCTCCGGCCGCTCCAGTGGTCCACATGCTGTCATCACTCGCGTTGTCAAATATAAGAAGCCACCGTCCTACGCTCTCTCTGCTTAGATAAATTTTCACCAGTTTCTTCACGTCCAGCTTCTCATCGTCCCATCCGGGAATTTGTAGTCGCTGAGCAAGCTGCGCATACCCCTGCTGCACGCTCTCGATATCGGTGGCCGGCACCCATAGTACTGAGCAGTCTTTGTAAGCTTGTCTCGTTCTGTAGGCCATTTCAAGTGCTAACTGGGTTTTTCCAATTCCACCTATTCCTGTGATTGCAATTCTTGTTGTCTGGCCCTCAACAAAAAGAGTCTTTTGGAGTGTGGTGAGTTCGGATTCGCGACCAGTGAACTGGCTGTTTCGGCTAAATGGCACAATAAATGGAGTCGATTCTGTTGATTCAATTTGCAGTCGCAGTCTCCTTAAAGCCTCTGCTTTTCCTTCTCCATACATCAAAGTCATTCTGACTTCAACTATTCCAAGAAGGCAATAAGCACTGTCTTCTTCTTCTGTCGTTTCGCGGTTGCTGGCCCATGCAATTCGCTCATCTACGCTAAATTCTTTCAGTGGACGCCCACGTAAAGCATCAACTGGAATCTTAGTAACTTCATGAATGACTTGCTCTAGATCAGCTTTGTTTCCTAGTAATTGGTGACTCAGAGAAAAGAACTCTACTGATGCCGGAGCAATTAGCTCTTGGAGAGTCCATCCTCGTCTAAACCACCTGCTCTTCCGGAATGAGGTTTTCCACGTATTTGGCTCCACGTTAGGATCTGTAGCAGAGGGATCTGTGACATCCGACAGGAGTGCGTAGCATTTAACTGCCCTCTGGTAGTAGCGAAACATGGAATTAATCTCCTTTGACCGCTCGCTGAGATTCCATTGATTAATGCAGCACGTGTCAACCCAGAAGTAATCTAAATTGTCGTGGGCTGCTTGCTGACCACAAAACATGATCTTCTTAAAGCCAGCCTTATCTCTGCCAGTATTCTTCATAAGGTCTTCATAAGTGAATTCAACATCGTGGCCATTGGGATCCCATGTATGGGACAGAATGGCATAATCCGGTATTTCGCTACTAAATACTTTGGATTTCAGGGTTCCGGACGTGTCAAAGTAAAGTAGTCTCATGGCTTCGGCACAGTACTGTAACGGCTTCAGAACGAAAGGTGAGCAAAGTAGAGCAGTGCGAACTTTCAAGTAAGGATCTGGAGCGGACCAGCTCTGGGCTACATAAGTGCGCGCAGGGAAGAGCTGTATGGGGAGCGGTATTGGGGCGGTGTGGGGGCGGTGTTGGGGCGGTGTGGGGGCGGTGTTGAGGCAGTGCCGATCAGGCTGAACTGGACCGGCCCTAGAACTACGGGCGCACGGCGGTGAAATTTTCATCTTGCCGGGGTGGTGTTTTACATCTCGCACGTGTCAGTGTGCTCAACGTATCGTCGATGTCTGATTGAATTGATTGATCTCAAGCTATCCTGCCAGGTGTTCACACACACCGGTAGTCACGGATCTTGAATAGGCAATACGCTAGCCTTATTCGGAGTCCACCTCTATTGACATGCAGCGATGCTGGTCGTTCCAGTGGTGGCCTGCGTACTTGATGATCCTTTCTGCTCTGCACACTCTACGAATCAATCTACCCAGCAAACGCGAAGAAGGTGTTTGCACATCGTTCACAATCTGTCAGCGAAGAGAACCGGTCTTCGGTTCCCGTTTTGCAGATAAGATAGTTCTATAGATCGGGAGCCCGGCCAAGCTGCGCCTCGAATCCAAAAAGCTCTACTCGTCCTCTTCCGACAAAGGGGTCGGCACATCTGAAAAAAAAAAAAATTTTTTTTCCAAAAGGCGCAAATGCCAAAACGCAAAGACCTCATCCTGATTGATACTTCAAGCAAGCTAGCGTCCACAAACGCATTGGGATACGCAGAAGAAAGCGGGACCAAAGACTCGGCCGGCTGATCGAGATTACATCAGGACGGCAGGAGTTGGCACGACGCGGACGTGTGCGCAAACGACAAACGCGCGCTTTTTTGCCCTTTTTTTTTCGGTACAGTGCAGTCGCCCCCGTTCCTCGCTTCAGCGACCCAGGACATGAGTTTCGGCCGCGAGGTAGGAGATGACCACACCCGCTTAGATGGAGAGCAGGGCTCTGTCGGTAAGGCCAGGGCGTGCTTTTGAATTGCAATGGCTGGATGATATGCAGAAAAGGCAACGAGACAGATCGGCGCAGCCAGGTTTGTAACCTTGTCGCGCCTCAAGACATCACCGGCTTGGGATGGAACATGATCAGTCGCGAAGAGAGTATGTTTGCTTCTTACTGCATGATTCAGACATCGTGTTGCCCGCGCGAGACCTCGCAACCCTTAATCTATGTACAAGTATTACGCGACGTCGTCATCTCCTCTATTCGCGCCTGTCCCTTCACAGGGGATGCCGCCCATTTAAATACAGCCCACGCTTGCTCGCTGTAGATGCAAGCCCAGTCTATCAAACATGAATTTTCCCCGCAATTTCACGCGCCGGATCCGTGTGTCAATGTTACCCAAGACGCCGCGAGTAGGGAAGTCTTGTCCCCATGCATCGCAAAAAAAGAACGCCGTCCCCGATGCTAGACTATGCTCCTACGCCCCCGCTAAAATGCAGCGTAACGTGTATGACAGGATGAAAAACGTTACGTGTAAAAGATCCCAATGAAAGAGAGAGAGAGAGTGTGTGTGTGTATGTAAGCGAAGACTATGCGCCGTTCAACAGCCCAGCCATCCAAGATCGTTTCTTGGGGTTGTTGACCGGCTCGCGAGATGCAAGGTTTCCTTTTCCAGGTTTCGGTTTCTTGACCCACAAGCGTTCCTGCTCGTTCCACTGGTGTCTGTTTCCACTTCATGTCAGCAGGCCGTGCTTCAAGAATTGCGTTCGCGAGACGGCGCAAGTCGCAAGCCGCATGCAGCCAGTCCCGAGATGAAAACACTCACCCTTCGTACTCGGTTAAGACGAGGGCCTTCTCTCGATATTCCTCGAGCAGGATCTTATCGTACGCATAAGGGATCTTAGCGGGTACGCCCTCGTAAATGCTCTCTCGCATCGGATACAGGTCCTTGGTGCGGTACTTGTGGTGGTTCTTGCACTCCCATACACCCGGGTTCGTGTCCGGGTGAATCTCGGACAGACCTGTGATGTCGATATACAGACCGTTACGAATGTCGATCCATCGTGCGTCGATGATGTTCATGCCATCGCCGTGGACGCGCTGCCAAGACCAGGGGTTCACGTCCAGGAGGTATTCGCGCTGGACTTTCTCTTCTCCATCCGGAGAAGAGCTCGAAGAGGTGTAATGATAGGTTGTGCGATTCAGATTCGCTGCCATGTAGGCGAGTGTTTCGCCAGAAACCTGAGTGTCGATGTCCCAATCCCAAGGCAGGATCTGCGGCACGCATGTTTAGCCCGACCTGTCGACCACTGAACACAGCAGTGAAGAACTGACCTGTCCGTTCCACCACCAGCCTAGAAGAGTGCCGTGAGCTATCCAGGTCTCCAGTCCTTTTTCCTGGAAGAACAGCAGGTACGAACGGATGAGGTGGTGCAGCGTGTCCGTCCGGACGTCGTAGTCGACCACACCTTTGAAATAGCGTGCATCATAATGCCCAAGGATGTCGTCGGTTCTGCGCCCGTCGACGGTTAGCAGGAGCCCTGTTACGGCTGGGCAGAATACAGATTTCTGCGAGCGCCAACGCAATGAACGCATTGTGCAGACGGCCGTCCATGACGACGTAGCAGAAGAAGAGGGGGTTCTTACCCAGGTTCGTCTAGCGAGCGCGTTAGTTAAAAATCATTCACTACGACCACAATCGAAACAATTCAAATGAAGGCATGGCACGCCAAAAACGTACGGAAGTATTTAGTCGTCGAGCCTGCGTCTCGCATCTGATTATTTTTTCGCTTCGTGTACTCGTCGCTGCCTTGTTTCCGGGACTCCAGCGTCGGTGCAGCGACGACGAGAGGGATGCATGTTGTCGCTACCAACGCTGTTGCCCATCGCAAAAGTCTCATGATGGACTCACGACCACAGCCGGACGCAATGTGGAGATGGGACGGGCGGAGCAAGACTGATAAGATATCGGATCGAACCGTGGAGACGTGCTCTCGTATTCGCTTCCAACTGTACGGGCAGCTGTGCGCTGCAAAGGAAAAGCCCGTACAAGGAAGATGTTGGGGGGGGACTTTGTCTTTTAAAGAAAGAGAGGCCTCGATCTCAGATAGTTGGGAAGAAGATAGATGGGGCGGCTGGCAGCAGATGGAGCGCAAGGCCAAAAACCTGGTTTGGGGGCGGCTGATTTGTTCACGGGCGGAGCGATGCGATATGATTAACTTGGGTACAGAGCAGGCGAGACGGGCTGGGAGGTCGCGTGCCGCTGCTTATGGGGGCAAAGTGTCGTGTGCACGCCTCCGTTGCTCGATATCGCTACGATCGGCAGCGAAACGAAGCAGGAAAAGAAGGCAGGACGAAAAGCAGGGACGCGAGATAGGAAAAGGCACGCACAAGTGGAGACGGCGAGACATGGTGGTACGTATGTATGAGTTCGGAGCGAAGCAAAAGGCGCATGGAGCGACGCAACACCAGTCTGTCGTGCTCGTCCGCAGAGCCCAGGGCGAAAAGGGCGCGTCCTCCTGCGATATGCACGCAGGGATTGACAGCAGCCCGTCGCTCTTGGCCGCATCATCTTGGCAGTGGCTAAATGCAATCTGGGAGGTGCTCGTGTGCTCGCCCAATGCTCGTCGCCGTCGTCACCAAGCCGGATGTCTCTCTCCCAGCGCCGCGATGCGTCTTTGCCCGTCGCGCGGGACAGCGTGCGTCGCGCCGGCAACCTCCATCTTGTCGCGAGCACGGCGGCCAGAGAGCGGTGCAGGCGTGCGGATGCCTGACGCTGGATAAGCCTTGTTTCGTTTTTTTTTTGTGTTTGCCATCGCTTGGTGCTAATTTTGGCGAACCAGAACACCACGCGGAGAGCTGACGTATGCTTGGCGCTAGCTGGCGGTTCTGCAGCCCGAACAGGCAAAAACAGTGGGCAACCTGGATTGCCGTCCCCGCGACAGAGAGCCGGTATCATCATAAAATGCCCTCCTGCGAAGCGAATCGACGGGGCCCGTCCGCGCGGTAAGATCGAGCACACTGTTCAAGGGGGCACTGGACACTGCACCTCGCCAGAGGAGCTCTGTACCACAGCGCTCCGCACAGTGGATGGGCAGTTCGCTCTACGGTGGCAGCGCTGTCTCGCCCTGCTGAGATGGAAGTTCAATGGTCCGACGTCGTCAAAAACCACCCCAAGATGGGCGACATGGATCCGTCGTCGCAAGCTCGTTGCTCCTGTCATTGCGATGTCGAGTTCGCAGGCGTCGCAGCACCCTCGCAGGCTTACGCAACGGACCTAAACACACCAATGCTTCATGGTGCGGGTGCACAACATCATTGTCGTCGTCGTCGCCAATGCCCCTTCACCCCCACAGCGAGGTGCTCCGCTGACGGTATGCTTCTGATGCCCGCAACCGGCCTGTGGGGCAGGAATGAAAAACGCCCACCAGGCGGTCAGCCAGCGTCACCAAAGTGCGTGATCATGTTTTTTACGACAGCTCAGGCAGGGTGCTGCTGCTGTTGCCGAAGATCTGTCACACAGTTCGATGCGCTCCGTCCACACGCACTGTGGATGCCGTAATCAACATAGCTGGACGTCAAGAAGCGAGTGCAAAGGTTCGCTACATGATTCATGGCTGGGGCCACGCTTTGGGCACGGAACCACTCTGTTGCCACCAAAGAGCACACGTCTTCCAGTGGTGGGCAAAGCCATGCCAGGCTTGAGTGCGGACTTTGAAAGTCAAGCATCCATCTTGGCAGCGGCTGAAACAAAAAGCTTGGTTCGCCAATTTCCACGAAAAAATAAAACAAAAAGGGGATTCGCCCCCGTGTCGCTCCTCTTCCCACAAAAGTCGTTCCGTGGTGCGCGTCTTCGTCGTCGACTTGACCAGATACGAAATCCCAGCGTCTGCGTGCTCGGACTGGCCTCGAAGACAGGAAGCCCATCCGTCTGCAGCGCGCGGCGCGTTGCAAGGCAGGAACGGAGGAGACTCGCCACACGACTTGTGCCGTGGGCGGTGACAAGCCAAAGCCCGCCGTGATTGGTGCGCGTCCCAGCGGCTCATCCTGATCATCTTATCAGCGTAGATGAGCCGGAAATTACTCCTGGCCATTACACACGGCCGCGTGGTCACGCGACAGGTGACCCACCACACCGTCGTGCCTTCCCGGATGGAGCTAGACTACGTGTGACTTATCCAGTCAATGCCCAACAAGTATGCCGACATCCTCGCCTTCTGGACTGGGAATGTGATTGACATCTATGACAGCAGCAAGGCGGGTCTGCGATGCATGCTATTCTGTTGAAAGGTTTAGTTCCGTTAGAATAGGAAGATTCATGGTTGGAAGGATGATTGTGCTTTTGTAAAAACTGTAGTGGATGGCAGAGTTGAGCACATTCTCTGGGTCCAGCCACTTGAGCTCCGATGCATGGCCTTATTCACAGCGACGGTTGTAAAAAGGTACTGACGCCTTAACTCATCGATCCAATCCTGGCTCGAGTCGGTTACTTGCGATCGCGCACTTTCAGATCCTTAGATAATACCTTGGTTGATGGTTGGAAGACGCCGTCTTGGTTTTTAACAGCAGCTATATCACGTGAATCTTTGAGGGAGCATGGGTGCAAGTTCAACCCCGCGTATGCGGCCGCCTGAAAATGATCCCTCGTAGCGTAACAGACCTACTACTTGCTATATGATGATAAAAAGGAGGCTAGCTATATAACTACAATGGAGTTTATTATCCCATGCCTTCTTATTGGCACGCAACTGGCATCCTACTGCCTGAAGTTTTGAGACCACGCGACGCACGAGGCTGTTTGGCATGTCCAACAAATCACAATGGCGGTCGAATTGAACCGCCCGCATTGATGAGATACGTAATCCACCACAAATCGTAGACGGATAAAGGACGCACCCTATAAGTCATATAGAGAATTCGTAGGGAGCACAGCGCAGAAGAACAGGCGGTGATAGAGGACTTCAATCTCCACCACCGGCTCTGGGGAGGCGACGGAGAGCGAAGACGGGAATGTTAGAAGTCTAATCCTAATCCGTCAAGACTAATCAACGTAAGCCACTTCAGAAAGGATAAGCTTCCTAGAGCAACAGAGGGAAGTACTGATGTCATATATAGAAAGAGGAAAGATATATAAGTAACAGCATTTATAGCTTAGTTAAATTACGCTTTAATAGAAGGGAGTAGATTAAAGCTAATAAACTAGATAAACTAGATAGCTTAACTACGGCGAACTAAGGGGAGAGAAGGCTGTCAGTGTGCTCGATGTATCGTCGATGTCTGATTGGACTGATTGATCTCAAGCTATCCTGCCAGGTGTTCTCTCATACCCCCCCTGGCCACCTCTGCTATCCGGTAGTCACGGATCCTGAATAGGCAATACGCTAGCCTCATTCAGAGTCCACTCTACTGACACACCCCCGATCTGAATAGGTATAACTATTCAGATCCTTATATATCAAGTATCCATCTAGCTTATTATCTTTATATTTATCTTCATATCTTGGTAAGATGGCCAATAGATCGGTCGGGTATTAAGGACTGCATTTTCCTGTTGAAGCAACCGCACTGTTTAGAAGTTATCACATTGGATAGTAAGTGGCCTTTCTATTTCCTGATCCAACTGCTTCAAGATTCTTGCCAGGCACATAGCCTCTCTTGCTGTTTCTGAGATAGCGCGTAGCTCGGCTTCGGTGGTTGTGGTGGTCACTGTTGGTTGCTTGGTTGCACTCCATGTAATTGATCCTCTATATAGTAATATCATCCATCCTTGCGAGCTTTTGCGATCGGTATTATCTGCGAATGATGCATCGCTTGCGATAATCCACCTATTATTGGCTTAGTAGCTATCGAACATAAGCGCCATATCTCTGGAGTTCTTGAGGTAGTGTAGTACTTGGTTGTTACAGAGTAACATGGGAATCACGTGAAAAAGCGATCATGTTGATCATTTATGATCAAGGTGATCGGCTTGCGTGGGCGAAGGATTGCGATTCGCCCAGGAGGAATGGACGAATCAGGAATGCAGTCTGTGATCAGTCTGATCATTCATGATCAGAATGATCGCCAGGTTTCTTATATCTATAAGAATGTCTTGTCCCCGCCTTCACTACGGCTCTCCGTAATTCAACTGTCTAGTTTACCTAGTAGTTAGTTTGAATATTTTCTCATACTCTTGAAGCTCATACTATTCTAAGTCATAAACATAACTATCTTATTATATTCCTTCCATAACAAGCTCTGGTTATGCCTTGTTCCTTTGCTCTAGGAAGCTAAACCCTTCCGAAGTGGCTTACATTAGTGAAGCTAGTCGGTACTGGGAAGGTATTCCTAACAAAAGTTGAATTACCAAGTTATTGGATAGGGCAAGGAACAATATCTTATGTCTACTGTCTCTAAGAGAAGTAGCGGAAGTCAACAACAGTCTGGTCCACCAAAGAAAAAGGCTGAGGTTACTTCAAAGACAAGTGCTGCTGGACCATCGACATTCAGAACAGCAGTACCACTACCACCTCCACCACCATCAAGAGATCCGGAGGTTCTACCAGACGTCCAATTGTCTGACGACTCCGATTCATCCGATTTGAACTCCGACTCTGGAAGCGAAGATCTGTTTGACGACGATATGGCTCGACCTAAGGTCAATCCACCTGAACCTTTTGAAGGGGAACGATCCAAATACGAGGCCTTCAGGTCTCAGCTTGGAATTTACATCTATTGGAACCAGGATAAGCTCGAAACCGAAGAGAAGAAAGTTATATATATGATTTCCTACTTAAGAGGAAATGCATATATCTGGATCTAGAGGCGAGTTGATCAATATATCTTGAAGAAGGGAGATGTTCCGCACGATATCAAAAGAATTTTCCAGAGCTACTCGGTATTCACGGGAGAAATGGACCAGTACTTTCAGCGAGTTGACGAGGCTCATCTAGCCGAAAAGAAGTTATTGGAACTACGTTAAAAGTCAGATGCAAGTTCCTATGCGGTCGAATTTGAGAAATGGGCAGCAATTTTGAAATGGAACGACGATGCACTCCGCACCAAGTTCTTTGCAGGACTTAAGCCAGAAGTTAAAGCTCAGTTGCGACTTAGGGAAAAAGAGATATCCACTCTCACCGAGCTTATTGAATCAGCGATTAGGGTCGATTCCATCCTATTTGAGAACAAGCTTGATAAGCAGGGAAAGACAGCCAGGTACTAACCCAATCACGGAAGACCACGACGCTCTACCGATTACTATGGACCGCAGCCTATGGAGATAGACAAGCTCCAGAAAGGTGATCAAGCCCCGAGGAGGCCCAAGAATTTCAAGAAAAATACGGGAAATTGCTTTAAATGTGGCCAACCAGGACACTTTGCCCGAAGTTGCTCGAAGACTAAGAAGCAATCAGTTAAGAGTTTGGGAACCGGTGCGCAAGCACAAAAGATTGCTATGCTTAAGAAAGGCTCTCGCAGTACCTACCGAGGGGGACCAAATCAAAATACGGGACCACGGGATGAAACAGCGATTCAGGGAATCTTGGAACGACACCCTGATGCTCAGACGAATATAGCTTATAAATTCCATTGGGCATTGCCAATTAGCCATTGTAAGGTCCAGGATTGCGGATTCTGGGAGCATAGCGAAAATAGGGACCCAGGAGAATCATCATGGGAATACCCTTACGGACCACCCGAGGTTTCTTTCACACAAGTACGACGAATACTCCAGATTAAGGGTATTAAGAGTAACGATCGTCACGTGCACCATAAACATCTTCCAGTCAACCACTGCACGGCTTAGGGTTATCAATATCCAAGACACCGTATGCCATTGATGAAATAGGGAACCATTAATAAGGGCGATATATCGGTCAACATTGGACCACTACCTCAAGAAATTCAAGGTACAATTGGAAACCTTAATCCTGAAGAAAATGAAATAATGGAAAATATCTTCATGTGCATCATGAAACTCATCTATATGACGGATGACTCGACAAGAAGGGCGATTACATGGGTTTTGCCTAAGGACCCATACCGAATTGGATTTCAGATGAGTGCAGATCCAGACTCTGATGATCCACGGAAGAAGTATCGAATAAACCTACAAATAACAAAAGGAATGTCCAACTCGGATAATGGAAGTTCCGAGGAATGGGAGTCAGGTGAAGAAACGCTTGATGACGGTGAAAGCGAACACCCTTGCTTTTCGGGAAACGAGGAGGTCGACTATTAAGGGGCGTAATAGTTGACTTTCGGAAGGAACCTCGAAGCCTCAGCAAGTTAGGGGAAAGCAAGCTGATGGTAGAAGTTGAAATCGCAGACAATTCTACCATGGCCATGATTGACTCAGGAGCTACAGCAGACTTCTTGAGCAGTCGATATGCGAAGGAGTGGGGTCTACCTTTGTATAAGAAAAAGGACCCATATCCACTTATCACTGCTGACGGAACCCCGATCGCTTCCGATCAAGGCATGGTTGAGTATGAGACAACCGTCGACATGACAATATTAGGCAAAGAATCTAGAAGAACGTTTGACATTACCAACATTGGGGATTCGGATATCATCCTCGGATTGTCATGGCTCCAGGACGAAAGACCGCACATCGACTGGTCAACCTTAACTGTGTCTCTAGTTAAGGATCGATGTCCTGCCCAGGCCAGGAAGCGCACTGGAGGGCAGACGAAAAAGCTCATGCGGCAGAGTATACAAGATATAGAGGCGGTAGCTGTTTATCAGCTCTAAGGGGAGCAGAAAACAACGTTCCAAATTCCTCCGGAGTATAAGGAATTTGCGGAACTTTTCGAGAAGGAGGCTCCAGAAGAAGCCTTACCACCGCACCAGCCGTTCGACCACGAAATAGTGCTAAAAGAGGGATCCCAACTGAAAAGGTTTGGCATCTACCCACTCAGGGCAGACCAAAGAGAGGCACTAGATAAGTACTTGGATGAAAACCTAAAACGAGGGTTTATCGAAGAGTCCAAGTCTCCCACAAGATATCCGGTATTCTATATACCTAAACCCGATGGCGGACTACGACTTTATATGGATTATAGACACCTAAATAGTATCACGGTGAAGAATAGCATGACGCTGCCGTTAATCCAGGAGTTACGAGACTGACTCCAAGGAGCTCGATGGTTCACGAAGTTTGACATACCGGAAGCATTCCATCGAATTCGGATTAAGCAGGGCGATAAGTACAAGACAGCGTTTAGCACTCATCAAGGGCATTATCAGTACAGAGTGATGCCATTTGGGCTCACCAATGCTCCAGCTACCATGCAAGCATACATGAACCATGTGTTGCGGGAACACTTGGACAAGTATGTAGAAGTCTATATAGACGATATTTTGGTATACTCCCGGACGTTTGAAGAACACGTCGAACACGTCCGAAAGGTCTTAAAAGCGCTAAAGAAACATAACTTATGGCTTAAACCATCCAAATGCGAGTTCCATAAACAGAGAATCGAGTTTATTGGACTAATCATATCGGAAAAGGGATTAGAAGTAAACCCAGATAAAGTCGAAAGAGTTAAGGAATGGCCTGAACCACGAACCGTTAAGTAAGTTCAAGCATTCTTAGGATTTATAAATTATTATTGACAGTTTATCCCTGGATATTCAAGGATTGCGGTACCACTTACTGAACTCACCAAGAAAAGGGAAAACGCTGGCATCACTTCCCAGGAGTTTCAGTGGACCGAGGATGCTCAAAAGGCCTTTGATGAGCTTAAAAAACTAGTTATAACTATGCCGGTACTATAATTGTTCGATGAGAAAAAGCCGATAAGAGTTAAGACAGATGCTTCCAAATATGCTCTAGGAGCGGTCCTAAGTCAACAGGACGAAGATGGGCTATGGCGACCAGTAGCCTATCACTTAAGAAAGTTTACAGATACGGAAACTAGATACTCCATATCAGATCAGGAATTGCTAGCAATCATTGACGTGCTTAAGCACTGGCAACATTATTTAGAAGGCATAAAGAATACGTTCTTAGTCTTGTCAGATCACCAGAATCTCCGAAACTTCACCACCACTAAAGTGTTAAATGTACGACAGCTAAGATAGTGTTAGGAATACTTTCCCAATACCGACTAGCTTTACTAATGTAAGCCACTTCGGAAGGGTTTAGCTTCCTAGAGCAGAGGAACAATGTATAACAAGAGCTTATTGTGGAAGGAATACAATAAGATAGTTATGTTTATGACTTAGAGTAGTCTGAGCTTCAAGAGTATGAGAATATATTCAAACTAACTACTAGCTATGCTAGACAGTTAAATCACAGCCTTCAAGCAAGGGAATTCCTCCTTCCTTTATAGACCTGGAAAATGAACGATCACTCTGATCATCCCATGATCAAGATGATCACTTCTGCAAATCCTATTCGCTTGTTCTCAGCAAACCAATAGCACTCTCTGGCTAATGCAAGCTGATCATCCTGATCATTCCATGATCAGACTGATCACTTCTCTCACGTGACTTGTTACTTCGTAACATCATTCCCCTCCTTAGTAAGCTTATCCCAAGCTTCAATACTTCAAGGGTTAATAAGGATCCACTTTTCTTCCAAAAATGGCTTCCTTTCCCTCTTCCCGTCGCAAACGCTTATTTTCAGAAATCGAAAGCTTAGGTAGTCCAACGACTCAAGCTTGTTTTGATTGTCTCAGGAATAACCTCGCGTGTGTTGTTATGTCTTCCTCAAAAGGAACTAGATGCGCCAGTTGTACTCGCAAAGGAATCTCCTGCGTGGGTCCGTCCTGGGAATCTCTGGATAAAACGAGAGAAAAAACCAAATCAGCCATAAGTGAGGATCTGAAACAGCTAGAGAAAATCAGCGTCGAGATGGCTGAACTACAGCGTCGCCTATCCCAGACACAGAGTCGCTTGTCTCGTAATCGAGCGCTTCTTGATTTCGCCGAGAAAAGAGCCAAAGAAAAGGCAATCTGTCTCATGGAAGAGCTTGAGCAAGAGGAGGAGGAAGAAAGAGCCCGCAATGGTGGTCTAACGGACGGTGAACTCCGAGAGTTAGGTGACAATCTGGTTTCTTTCCAGCAACTCAATGAGTCAATAGTCCAGATGGCTTCGCATGAGATGGATTCATCTCGTGAAAGCGTTGTAGCTCAAGGGGACAGTTAAGGTTTTTATACGGTTCCCAAGTGTTTTCTTCCGGTGGGTAACCTTCCCATTTTATGAGGTAGAAGTGTTGTCGTCTTCTGACTCGGTGGTCTAAGATTTTCTCAACTTCATATTCCTGTTCGGTAGGGTCTTCCAACTCAGTTTCTTTGTCAAGAGGAGTGTTCGGATCCGCTTTTTCCAGTAATGACACATGAAAGATAGGGTATATCTTCATGCTCTTGGGTAGTTGCAGTTCATAATTCACTGGTCCTATGATTCTTTTGATCTTGAATGGTCCAATTTTCAGAAAATCAAGTTTACTACTTTGGCGCTTGGTGCGAATATTTCGTCGCCAAAGATAAACTTTATCCCCCTCCTTAAGGTCTGGTCCCTCAGACCTTTTTTGATTAGCCTGGAGGATCATTCTTTATTCAGGAACATAATATCAGATCGTAGTTGAGTATGAAGCGATTGCAGTTCTTCTGCAAACAGCGTTGCTTCCGTAGGTAGGTGTGCCGACGTGTCAACCATTAATCTTGGTTCCTTTCCAAAATTCGCGTAATACGGTGATATTCCTATGGTACTCTGCTTGGTTGCATTATATGCTAGCGCTGCCTGTGGTAAAAGTTGTACCCAATTGTTTTGTTCGTCGTTGACATATATTCGCAAATATTGTTCCAATATTTGGTTTACTCGTTCTGTCTGGCCGTCGCTTTGTGGATGATATGCTGTTGACATTCCCTGAGTTATCTGTAACACTTGGCATAATTCTTTCCAGAAATGAGATGTGAATATTTTATCTCGATCAGAGATAATTTTCTCAGGTATGCCAAATCTCCCTACTTCTTTCAAGAAGACTTTCGCTAAGTAAGAAGCAGTGAATTGCCGAGGAATCGGAACAAATATTGCATATTTTGTCAACCGATCAACAGCAACCATAATGTTTTCATATTCCACATTATTCTTGTCCTTAGAAGGTGGTAAAGGTCCGATGAAGTCTATCGATACTTCCTGCCAGGATTTTTCCGGTGCTTTGTTTGGTTGAAGCAATCCATAAGGTTTATGTCGTTCATACTTGGCCTTCTTGCACAAATGGCAAGCCCTAATCCAAGTAAAGACCTTTTGTCGCATTTTGGGAAAGTAATAGTTTCGTCGTAATCTTTCCAAGACTTCTTCTGCTTTAGCATGTCCTTGCAGTGGTGGCTCATGATACTTAAGCGTCCATTCTCTCTCAAGATTCGGAGGTAATATGATTTTCCCTTCATGCATATAGACTTGTAGTTTGTCATCGTAGTCCATATGTTGTTTGATGAAGTCCCTTTTTGATTGTTCGGTTCGAATTCTCTGAATCTCGGGTATGTTGATTTTAATCAGAGACGCCACTTGGTGTATCATCGAGTCTCCTTCTTGCCGCAACAGAGCATGTTTAACCTCCATTCCTCGGTCATAGTCGGTTCTTCTACTTAATGCATCCGCGTTAGCATTAAGTTTCCCACTCCGATGTTTGATCTCAAAGTTGAATGACGATAGTTCGTATGACCATCTTAGCTGTCGTCCATTCAACACTTTGGTAGTGGTGAAGTTTCGGAGATTCTGGTGATCTGACAAGACTAAGAATGTATCTTTTCTGCCTTCTAAGTAATGTCGCCAGTGTTTGAGCGCGTCAACGATTGCTAGCAGCTCTTGATCCGATGTGGAATATCTAGTTTCCGCATCTGTAAATTTTCTTGAGTGATAGGCTACTGGTCTCCATAGCCCATCTTCGTCCTGTTGACTTAGGACCGCTCCGAGAGCATATTTGGAAGCATCTGTTTCAACTCTTATCGGCTTTTTCTCGTCGAACAATTGTAGTACCGGCGTAGTCGTGACCAATTTCTTAAGCTCGTCAAAGGCCTTTTGAGCGTCTTCGGTCCACTGAAACTCCTGGGAAGTGACGCCAGCGTTCTCCCTTTTCTTGGTGAGTTCAGTAAGTGGTACTGCAATCCTTGAATATCCAGGGATAAACTGTCGATAATAATTCGTAAATCCTAAAAATGCTTGAACTTGCTTAACAGTTCGCGGTTCAGGCCATTCTTTAACTCTTTCGACCTTTTCTGGATTTACTTCCAATCCCTTTTCAGATATAATCAGTCCAATAAACTCGATTCTCTGTTTATGGAACTCGCATTTGGATGGTTTAAGCCGCAAATTATGTTTCTTTAGCGCTTTCAAGACCTTTCGGACGTGTTCGACGTGTTCTTCAAGCGTCCGGGAGTATACCAAAATATCGTCCATATAGACCTCAACATACTTGTCCAAATGTTCCCGCAACACATGGTTCATGTATGCTTGCATGGTAGCTGGGGCATTCGTGAGCCCAAATGGCATCACCCTGTACTGATAGTGCCCTCGATGAGTGCCAAACGCTGTCTTGTACTCATCGCCCTGCTTAATCCGAATTCGATGGAATGCTTCCGGTATATCAAACTTCGTGAACCATCGAGCTCCTTGGAGTCGGTCTCGTAACTCCTGGATTAACGGCAGCGTCATGCCATTCTTCACCGTGATACTGTTCAGGTGTCTGTAATCCACACAAAGTCGTAGTCCGCCGTCAGGTTTAGGTACATAGAATACCGGATATCTCGCGGGAGACTTGGACTCTTCGATAAAACCTCGTTTTAGGTTTTCGTCCAAGTACTTATCTAGTGCTTCTCTTTGGTCTGCCCTGAGTGGGTAGATACCAAACCTCTTTAGTTGGGATCCCTCTTTTAGCACTATTTCGTGATCGAACGGCTGGTGCGGTGGCAAGGCTTCTTCTGGAGCCTCCTTCTCAAAAAGTTCCGCAAATTCCCTATACTCCGAAGGAATTTGGAACGCTGTCTTCTGCTCCCCTTGGAGCTGACAAACAGCTACCGCCTCTACGTCTTGTGTACTCTGCCGCATGAGCTTTTTCGTCTGCCCTCCAGTGCGCTTTCTGGCCTGGGCAGGACATCGATCCTTAACCAGAGACACAGTTAAGGTTGACCAGTCGATGTGCGGTCTCTCGTCCTGGAGCCATGACAATCCGAGGATGATATCCGAATCCCCTATATTAGTGACGTCAAACGTCCTTCTAACCTTTTTGCCTAACATTGTCATGTCGACGGTTGTCTCATACTCGACCATGCCTTGGTCTGAAGCAATCGGGGTTCCGTCAGCAGTGATAAGTGGATATGGGTCCTTTTTCTTATCCAAAGGTAAACCCCACTCCCTAGCATACCGACTGCTCAAGAAGTCTGCCGTAGCTCCTGAGTCAATCATGGCCATGGTAGAATTGCCTGCGATTTCAACTTCTACCATCAGCTTGCTTTCCCCTAACTTACTGAGGCTTTGAGGTTCCTTCCAAGGATCGACTATTACGCCCCTTAATAGTCGACCTCCTCGTTTCCCGAGAAGTAAGGGTGCTCGCTTTCACCGTCATCAAGCGTTTCCTCGCCTGACTCCCATTCCTCGGAACTTCCTTCCGGGTTGGACATCTCTTTTGTTATTTGTAGGTTCAGTCGATATAACTTCTGTGGATCTTCAGAATCTGGATCTGCGCTCATCTGAAATCCAATTCGATACGGGTCCTTAGGCAAAACCCATATAATAGCCCTTCTTGTTGAATCATCTGTCATATGGATGAGTTTCATGATGCATTTATAGACACTCTCCATCATCTCATTCTCCTCAGGGTCAAGATTTCCGATTGTACTTTGGTTTCCTTGTGGCGATGATCCGACATCAACTGACAAGTTGCCCTCGTTAATGGTTCCCCATCGCATCAAAGGTACGCGGTGTCTTGGGCATTGACAACCCCAAGCTGTGCAAAGGTTGATTGGGAGGTGTTCGTGATGTACATGGCGATCGTTACCCTTAATACCCTCTATCTGGAGTATTCGCCGTACTTGCGTAAATGAAACCTTTGGTGGTCCATAAGGGTATTCCCATGATGGTTCTCCTGGGTCCTTATTTTCACTATGCTCCCAAAATCCACAGTCCTGGACTTTGCAATGGCTAATTGGTAGTGCCCGATGGAATTTATGAGCCATGTTTGTCTGAACGTCAGGGTGTCGTTCCAGAATTCCCTGAATCGCCGTCTCATCCCGTGGTCCTGTGTTCTGGTTTGGTCCCCATCGGTATGTGCTATGAGAGCCTTTCCTGAGCATAGCAACCTTCTGTGCTTGCACACCGGTTCTTAAAGCCTTGGTTGACTGTTTTTTGGGTTTCGAGCAGTTTCGAGCAAAATGTCCTGGTTGGCCACACTTAAAACAATTTCCCGTGTTTTTCTTGAAATTTTTGGGCTTTCTCGGGGCTTGTTCGCCTTTCTGGAGCTTATCAATCTCCATAGGCTGCGGTCCATAGTAATCAGTAGAGCGTCGTGGTCTCCCATGATTGGGTTGGTATCTGGGCGTCTTTCCCTGCTTGTCGAGCTTGTTTTCGAATAGGATGGAATCGATTCTAATCGCTGATTCAATAAGTTCGGTGAGGGTAGATATCTCTTTCTCCCTAAGCCGTAACTGAGCTTTAACTTCTGGCTTAAGTCCTGCGAAAAACTTGGTACGAAGTGCGTCATCATTCCATTTCAAAATCGCCGCCCATTTCTCGAATTCGACCGCATAGGAACTTGCATCTGACTTTTGGCGCAGTTCCAATAATTTCTTTTCAGCTAGATGAGCCTCATCAACTCGCTGAAAGTACTGATCCATTTCTCCCATGAACACTGAGTAGCTCTGGAAGATCCTTTTGACATCGTGCGGGACGTCTCCCTTCTTCAGGATGTATTGATCAACTCGCCTTTGGATCCAAGTATATGCATTTCCTCTCAAGTAGGAGATCGCGCACATGACTTTCTTTTCTTCGGTTTCGAGTTTGTCTTGGTTCCAATAAATGTAAATCCCGAGCTGAGACCTGAAAGCTTCGTATTTGGATCGTTCCCCTTCAAAGGGTTCAGGTGGATTAACTTTCGGTCGAGCCATATCGTCGTCAAAGAGGTTCTCACTTCCAGAATCAGAATTTGAGTCGGATGAATCAGAGTCGTCAAACAATTGAGCGTCTGGTAAGATTTCCGGATCTCTTGGTGGTGGTGGAGGTGGTGGGGGTACTGCTGCTCTGAATGTCGATGGCCCAGCAGCACTGGTACTCGAAGTAACCTCAACCTTCTTTTTTGGTGGACCAGACTGTTGTTGACTTCCGCTACTTCTCTTAGAGACAGTAGACATAAGATATTGTTCCTTGCCCTATCCAATGATTCGGTAATTCAACTTTTGTTAGGAATACTTTCCCAATACCGACTAGCTTTACTAATGTAAGCCACTTCGGAAGGGTTTAGCTTCCTAGAGCAGAGGAACAATGTATAACAAGAGCTTATTGTGGAAGGAATACAATAAGATAGTTATGTTTATGACTTAGAGTAGTCTGAGCTTCAAGAGTATGAGAATGTATTCAAACTAACTACTAGCTACGCTAGACAGTTGAATTACGGGGATGAAAATATCAGTAGGGACAGGACGTTTATATAGACCGTTTTCCAGATATCCTTACTGCCTTGCTCATTCTGATCATTCTTGGCGAAATGATCAGAATGATCACTCTGACCAATCAGCAATATCCTAACCCTCAATCATTGGTTAATGCGCTCATTTTGATCATTTTCCCAAGAATGATCAAAATGATCATTCATGTGATAGATCACGTGTTACTTCGTAACAGGAACAATGTATAATAAGAGCTTATTGTGGAAGGAATGCAATAAGATAGTTATGTTTATGACTTAGAATAGTATGAGCTTCAAGAGTATGAGAAAATATTCAAACTAACTACTAGATAAACTAGACAGTTAAATCACGAAGAGGTGTAATACCGGTAGAGACAGGATGTTTATATAGACCTCATTCTTGGTGTCCTTGTTGCCTGGCTCACTGTGATCATTTTGATCATTCTTGAGCGAAATGATCACTTCGACCAATCAGTGATACCTTGATCCCCAACCATTGGCTGATGCGCTCATTCTGCTCATTATTGAGCAAAATGATCGCTCCCACCAATCAGCGGTACCTTGAATCTGTTCACGTGTTACCTCGTAACAAAGAAGTAGGGAGATGTTAGGAATACTTTCCCAATACCGACTAGCTTCACTAATGTAAGCCACTTCGGAAGGGTTTAGCTTCCTAGAGCAGAGGAACAAGGTATAACAGGAGCTTATTGTGGAAGGAATGCAATAAGATAGTTATATTTATGGCTTAGAGTAGTATGAGCTTCAAGAGTATAAGAAAGTATTCAAACTAACTACTAGGTAAACTAGACAGTTGAATTACAACGAGCGTAGGTTTGGGCTTAACCTTCCTTATATAGACCTATTTTCTGTCCCTCATGACCAAGTCTCAATCGCTCCCGATGAGACTCATGCATACAGTCTCATCTGCCAAGACTGAGACTGGTGCAGAAAGTCTCACATGCCAAGACTGAGACTGCCGCTTGGCACTACTTGGCAATGATCCATGTTACTTTGCCCGTACTGATAAGTACGCCGTAACAGGAGATTTGGCATACCAAAAAAGATTATTTCTGACCGGGATAAAATATTCACGTCTTATTTCTGGAAAGAACTATGCTAAGCATTACAGATAATCCAGGGAATATCAACAGCATATCACCCACAAAGTGACGGCCAGACTGAACGAGTAAACCAAACACTGGAACAATACCTGTGAATATATATCAATGATGAGCAAAATAATTGGGTACAGCTCTTACCATAAGTAGCGCTAGCATACAACGCAACCAAACAAAGCACCATAGGAATGTCACTATATTATGCGAACTTTAGGAAGGAACCAAGATTAATGGTTGACATGTCGGTATACTTACCTATGGAAGTAACGCTGTTTGCAGAAGATCTGCAATCGCTTCATACTCAACTACGATCTGATATTATGTTCCTGAACCAAAGAATGATCCTCCAGGCAAATCAGAAAAGGTCTGAGGGACCAGACCTTAAGGAGGGGGATAAAGTTTACCTTTAGCGGCGAAATATTCGTACCAAGCGCCAAAGCAGTAAACTTGACTTTCTGAAAATCGGACCATTTAAAATTGAGAGGACTATAGGACCGGTAAATTACGAGCTACAGCTACCTAAGAGCATGAAAATACACCCCATCTTTCATGTTTCATTATTGGAAAAGGCGGATCCAGAGACTCCCCTCGACAGGGAAACTGAATTGGAAGACCCCACTGAGCTAGAATATGAAGTTGAGAGGATCTTGGATCACCGAGTCCAAAGATGTCAGCACTTTTACCTCATAAAGTGGAAAGGTTACCCACCGGAAGAAAACGCTTGGGAACCGTACAAAAACCTCAACTGTCCGCTTGAGTTATCGCGATACCATCGTGAGAATCCGAGACATTCGAGACCTCTTGGTTTCCGACGGCTTGAGTAGAGACGGCGAGATTATCCGCCAGTTCTCGGAGCTCACCATCTGTCAAACCACCATTACGGGCTCTTTCTTCCTCTTCCTCTTGTTCAAGCTCTTCCATGAGGCAGATTGCCTTTTCTTTCGCTCTTTTCTCGGCAAACTCTAAAAGTACTCGATTACGCGACAATCGGCTTTGTATCTCGGCGAGCTCGGCGCTGACTTTCTCTAACCGTTTCAAATCTTCGTTTATTGCGGACTTGGTCTTCTCTCTTGTTTTGTCTAAGGATTCCCAAGATTGACCAACACAAGAAATTCCCTTTCGAGTACAGCTTGCACACCTAGTCCCTTTCGAGGAAGACATAACAACACAAGTACGGCTGTTCTTGAAACAGTCAAAGCAAGCTTGGATCTCGGTGTCCCCTAGGCTCTCAATCTCAGAAAATGGTCGTTTACGTCGTAAGGAGGGAGTGGAAGCCATTTTTGGAAAAGGAAGAAAGTGGGGACCCTTATAGAACTAACCATTTAAGTACTAACCTAAGCTTGGGACAAGCTTAGTAAGGAGGGGAATGATGTTACAGAGTAACATGGGAATCACGTGAAAAAGCGATCATGTTGATCATTTATGATCAAGGTGATCGGCTTACGTGGGCGAAGGATTGCGATTCGCCCAGGAGGAATGGACGAATCAGGAATGCAGTCTGCGATCAGTCTGATCATTCATGATCAGAATGATCACCAGGTTTCTTATATCTATAAGAATGTCTTGTCCCCGCCTTCACTACGGCTCTCCGTAATTCAACTGTCTAGTTTACCTAGTAGTTAGTTTGAATATTTTCTCATACTCTTGAAGCTCATACTATTCTAAGTTATAAACATAACTATCTTATTATATTCCTTCCATAACAAGCTCTGGTTATACCTTGTTCCTTTGCTCTAGGAAGCTAAACCCTTCCGAAGTGGCTTACATTAGTGAAGCTAGTCGGTACTGGGAAGGTATTCCTAACATTGGTCAGCTGCCTTCTGATGCTTTGGCCCTGGTCTTGTGTTATGTCTTACAAGCTTTGACGCTACAAATACTATATCCGGCCTTGTCGTGATTACAGCATATTAAATAGATCCAACTTTCTGTTGATATATCCTTATTTCCTTTTTGTCCTGGTTCATTATGATAGTATGGAAGCTCTTCTGGTGATATTGGGATTATTACTGACTTTATTGCTTCATATTTATCAATATACTGGAAGATTTTGTCAATATATAAGGCTTAAGATAGCCATAGTTTCCTCTGTAGTCGATCTCTGATCACGTAAATCCCCAGAAACCATTCAATTGGTCCCCCACCCTTGAGCTCATTCCGTGATCTCAGCTCTTCCAGCACTTGCTCTGCTTTAGACCGGAAGGCCTTCAGATATAGGAGTACGATATCATCCATAAAGAAGAAGATAATTATTTTGTCCTTTATTATGATGCATGGCTCCTGTGGTACTGTATGAGATCCCAACTCTTGACATGCTTTGGTGAGATCTCGCTGCTAAAATAGTGGTTATTTATGTAGTAGAAACCTTGAAGTAAGAATAAGTATAATAATTATACTATAAAGGAACTAAGCAACTACTTATAGTTGCTATACCCTTATCCTCTGCCTAGCGGTACTATAGGCAGTCCTCTTGGTGGCGCTCCTGCCTGTCAAGCGGAGGCTGTAGACAATATCACGTGACCTGGGATCCAACTTCTTGTCGCAAGTCACGTGAGCCTGACTCAGCAGATATTCTGGGGCTTATCTATAAGTTGCTTCAGGATTGAAACCTAACAACTAACAATCCAATCCACTATGCAATCAATGCAATATTTCGCACAATAATCTCTTCCTTTTTCCTTCTTGTACGCTGCACAACAGCGATTCCTTCGCATGGCTTAGCTTAGCTAGGCACTCACATGCAACACTTCTTAAGCCTGTATAATGCCTTCTGTAGCTTATAGACCATGCCTTACGATCTATAGCCAGGTGCTGTATATGTATAGACTGGCCAATCGAGCCAAGCTTTAGGAAAGGCATTCTTGACATCCCCTTTCTCGCATATGAGATCAAAGGCTGCAGCGATTGCGAGCAGGATGCGCAGTGTTAGGTACGCGCCTATAGCCGCATATATGTCATAATATGTTGGCCATTTTAGATCTCCTCAAACGCATAACCTTGCCTTATGCTTTAGAAGATAGCCCTTAGGATCTAGTTTATAGGCAAAGACCTATTTGAGTGGTAGCACCTGCTGATCCTAAGGTGCTTACACTTCTTTCCAGCTTTCATTTCATCGTAGTCGATCCATTTCGGCTTGTGCTGCAGCGATGAAGCCCAATGCTTCTGGATATTTAAGCATCTGGTGCCAACTGTTTGGCAGTGGCTCGAGCTGCGTCCTATGCTTCCTAATTGATTGCCCTGAAGCGGCTGCAAATGCTTGTCATATGCCTGAATCAAGCTTTAGGCGCTTAAGTAAGTAGCTATGCCTATAAGCCCTGCTATTCAGTTCATCAATTAAGCGCTTAACTGCCTGAGCACTTGTAGCTTGTTTAGCCTTGCTCAATTAGGTGATTATACAACCTAAGCTTGTTCGAAGTTTGCGAAGGGCATCAATAGCTATTAGCTAAAGCTATTACTGCTGACTACTTACAGTAGTCACTGGTAATGGTGGCATATATAACTAGGCTTACGTTTCGGCATGTACCTCTGCAGGAAGCTCCTCTGGGGACTCTCCCGGTTCTGGTGGCAGCGTTAAGATGACCTGAGGTTGATCAGGCTGTGGTTGCTCTACATATTCTTGGCTTATTGCGTCTTTGATCTCGCTATCGCTTAGATTAATCTTATTTGCGGTTAATAGGAGGTTTAAGGAGTTGGTACTTATTTGGCTAGTTAGTTCATTAGCTTCGTGGCGTTGCTGCTTATTGATAATAACATCTCTTATATAAATCACTTAATTGAGCTGCGATAGCCATATAATATATATATTTATAGATTTGACTCTGAGGAGATAGCTGATAATCGACTTGCTGCGCAGCTTATGCCGTTTTGGTCTTTCTTTCTTATTCTTGATTAGTATGTATGCCTTTGAACCGATTGTCTTATAGCCAGTTAAGTTAGGCGGCTTGCCATGCATCATCTCGTATGGTGTGAGCCATTGTCTGCGTTGGATTGGTAGCCGATTCGCTATGCGGACAGCATGGTTAATAAAGAAAGGGCAAAGGCTGATCGGTAGTTTGGATTCAAGATGTATCTTTCGAGCTATTGTCATGATTGCCCCCCCCCCCCCCCCCCCCCCCCCCCCCCCCCCCCAGATCGTTTAGCAGCACCATTTTTTTGATCAGGCGTATATGGTGCTAATGGGTGATGTGTGATACCATTTTATCGAATTAGCTTGAGACATTATTGATTCAGCCCTTATTCATCATCCGATTGCAGTTGCCGTATGGTATAGCCCCAGGTCTATGTTAGCTTTATAAATAATTCTGTTACTTAGGCTGGAAGTAATCCATTCTTTGATGATAGGGTATGTGCTATATAGAAACCTGAATAGGCGCAATAGAAATGTAGCACCCATTGGTTAATATTGAATGCTTATTTGATCTTGATAAGGTTAAAGTGGACTTTTTCAAAAGGATAGGTACCGGGATCAACTGGAGCTAGCTGTCGCTGACGTCGCTGTTGTCCCTGGATGTATTCGGCACATAGCTGATTAACCAGCCTCGATGGCTGCGCTGTCATCTTAACTCCCTTAGTATGCTACTTAAGGTGCTTAAGTACCTCAAGGCTAGGATGGCCTAACTAAATATGCCATCGGCCGATCAATGCTGATGAGAATGGAGGCTGCTTGCTGCTAGCCATCGCCAGCGATTTTGATATTAAAACTTCTGCGTGCTTAATAATAGGCCATCCATCTTGCTTAAACACCTGCATGTAGCGCTTACCGTTCAGTGTTAGCCATCAGATCTCATCGTTCCATCTTAACTCCTTAGCTTTAAGCCTAGGATAAGAAACCAGATTAACATAAAACCCGGCGTAATAGGCAATGTTATATAGGTTAAGCAGCATTCAGCCTTATAAGCCATTTACTGCTATAGTGATTATCCTTATGCCTTGAATTGCTGCATAGGTGTCGCCAACCTTAACCTCCTTATCTTGAATTGGAGTCAGTTTTTTGAATCTCTTATAATCATTATATATATGCGTATTTGAGCATGAATCAGGGTGGAATAAGCTTATATCATCTGCGGTTGTTTCTGTTGATATAGCAAGCTGCTGCACTCTAAATGCAGCTCGGCCTACTGATATAGTGGATCTAGACTTGCCTGCATCTAGCTTGGGATACCAGTCGGGTATCTTAATGCTAGCCTTATCTAGAGCCGCTTATACAGTGTTATTAAGTTATTAATTACCTTATAGTAAACTGATAATCCTTACTTAAGCAGCCTCTCTCGGCTTCCAGTCGGATGGTGCTATTGTGGGGACGAGATAATAGTATTTGGTATATGGATGACCCCTCCCGCATATACACCTCTGTTGCAGCTTCTGCTTGGATGATAGTTGAGTATCTCACTCACCACTATCTTTATTGTTTAATCTATTTGCCTTTCTTTTCTTCTTTAGCTAATGTAAACCATCCGATTGATCGGCTGAGGCGTTACTATCTTCGCGATCGTGCTTGCGGCCCTGGAAAGTTGCATAGGCTACCTTGGTATGATGGTGCTGGCTATGCTTGCTTGGCTGTATTGCCTTGAATCGACCCACTAAGCTTGCCAGTGTGAGGCGGTTCGGATCGCAATCATCTCTCATTGACTTAAGCTGATTGTTAAAAGCTGTGTGCCATGCTGGGGTCACTTGCAAGGTATCTGCCGAGCTATCATTGTCTGCGGGTCCATGGAAAAACCCGAAACTATTGATCCAGCAACACCTCCTCTATGGCTATGATCCCCTTTTAAAACAATAAGAGCAGTGCCCAGCAGGGAAGAAGCCAAAATGAAAACCCAAACGTTGGTATCAGAAAACCCAGGATCAGTCGTATTTACAGACAGCTCAGGAAGAGAAGGTCACCTTGGCGCCGCAGCGATTATATTAGGCCCGAAGGAAAATATAAGCCATAAGGTAGGCCTCGGTATAGGCTTGAAGAGCGGCTGGAATGTATACACAGTTGAACTTATTGCAATTTTCTTTGAACTGCGTATGATTCGCAGAGTCTACATCTGGAACTTATGCACAATCAAACTCGAAATCAGTACACCATCCTCACTGACTCTAAGACACCACTGCAAGCGATAGCCAACCCAAACACGCAGACAGGACAACGCATTGTCCAAAGACTTGACCTAGAAGCCGAGGATCTTGCCAATGAGTAAACGGCTTCTGCAAGCGTAGCCCTTGATGCTGTGCGTCTACTGTGACTTAATCAGGTGAGGTTCTGAAATTTGGATTACAGCACCAAAGTTCCTTAAAGCGTATATCACTTTTCTGACCTGACCCACAAATTATGTTTCTCTTGACCCTTGCGTTGAATACCAGTTGTTTTGCTTCTGGAGGTATGTGGTCGTTGGTTGTATACATGGTCATGTTTTTCCCATCAATCTGTGAAATTCTTTCTTCGCTGCCTCAAGTAATCTTCAGAATATTGTTACGAGAGATGCTCCAGAGGAGTACCTAGGAAGGGAATGAGCTTATGACATGGCTAGGAAGGACTTTAGAGATCTGGCCTCACAAGAAAGCCCTACGCTCTCCTCAACTAAACGAGATACTAGTAAAACTTTGTTTTTGCTTGATCAGATGTAAAGCAGGTTATCACGCTTAATTTAATGTTTGCCGAAATCTGGGAGGCTTACCATGAGTTCTTTTTGCCATTAGCTGTAGTGAATATGGTAATCACGAAAAGTCACCAAATACACACTCCTAACGACCTAAATTGATTTAAACTTTTTCAATAAATGTGAAGCATGCGACTTTTCTCTCCAAAGAATTTTTTTGTAATATTAGGCCGGCTTCACAGTTGAATTTCCACCTTAGCGAGGAGACAGGAATTGAACGTCGAAAAAAGTCGATAGAGAGTCAATGAAGCTTCAGAATTCGTTTTAAACAATTACCTCAGTAAATGAGAGTGATTGTGCTTGCTGGATACATCATGCAAAAGTTCAAATACCTACTTCTTTCAACTGAAGTTGATTTGCATCTCAAGCTCATCAGCAGCACGATCCTTCCAGAGACATTTTTTCCTGGACCAGGGCGCAATGTCAGCGTGAGTTGTGGGCTCACACTGTTGACGTTGTCTTTTTCATAGGTCAGCAAACAGGGCTGTTCAATGTCGCCTAATGTATGTACTACGTTAATATGCCCTCAATAAAAACTCGAAGCTTTTACTAAACGATGTTCCTTTATTACGCTCAAACTAAGAGCTGCTTGTAAGACATGGTATGCGAAAGGTTTAACTTGAAAGTCAAAGTTTAAACCGAAACCCCGAAAGTTCTCAACTGTTATAGGGAAGCATCACGGGCATATAGTGAAGAGTCCTCGAGTTTGACGACACAATTGAAGTCATACTTCCATCTCATGAATATTGGATATGATAGGCCACAGAGTTCATGAAATTGCTCTTCTTTCCAAGTTATGCCAGCTAGTGGCCTGGAATAGTAAAGTGCAGAAATCAAACAGTGCTACTGCAGGCGTCATTAGACATATCAAAACAGCCAACAGTTTTATCAGAACTTCTTCTACAGTCATTCCATCTCTGCCCTCTTCGAAAGAGGACATGTCTGATCTGGAGGGGTTCGCCATATGGCACGACTCCAACATAATCGGCCTTCCAAGAGCCAAACATGATATCTTCCAGACGAAGCCTAGATGATCATTACACCACAGCTGCCATAATTTTGTCGGCGTTGACTGGCGCTTGCACAATTGTGGTAACTGTTGAGATCCTACGAGGCTATCTTAATCTTAGCTAAGCCAGAGTTCCACCTGCATGTGCTTGGAGTTTTCACGAGTTGCAGAATGTGGTCCGGAGACGCGATAGCGATCTTGAGGCATGGTCGTTTGATGCTTAGATCACGGCTGTGCCCCCACTGGGCCTCACATTTACAACAGAGTGACGATGAACGTTGACATTGGTATACGTGCGATATGTAATCAAGTGATCAGATAAACTTGTAGCAGGTAAATTATGACATATGTTGTACTTGTTCGCATTATTTCAACTGGTTTCCGGACGCGGTACCTTGCCTCGATCCATGAGCGCTGCGTGTTTGCAACCAGCACTCCGAACCGGAGGATCTTGTGATTGTTAGCCACGTGCTTACAAGTACGAGAAGCTCCAGCATCGGCATGAAGGCTTTACAAGAGTCGCGTGATCTTTGTGATTTCTTGTGCGAACAAGGCAAGGGGCCGAAGAATGAGCAAGGGATCACATTATTTGTCTTGCTTGTGAAGCCGATCAAATTTGAAAATTCCTCTGTTTAGAGTAGTATGGCAAGAATCTAGACTCTCGACGCTAAAAACATTAACAGCGCGGTTGGGGCATGTGAGGTTAATCGCTTAGGGTCTCCTCCAGCGCGTGTGGTGCCGCAACTGTTTCAAAGGGCAGTCAGGATGCTGAGGCCAAGACCAAAACAAGTCCATGCCGAACGATAGATTGCATGCGGCATGGAGAGATTCGACGCTCATATTAGCTCTCGAGACGTTAAAGCGGCTGGCCTGAGCCCGTGCCTAACGAAATTCCGGGGTCGGGCGGGACGCCTAGAAATCCTGCTCGGGGCTTTCTCTTTTCTCCAGCAAGAGGGGCGGAATATCGAGCTGCGTGTCTGTACACATGGCCCGAAAGTGCATCTGAATGGCAAAATTTCCACTTTCGGTAACTGATTAGTCCAAAGCGCCTCCGTTGTCGCGGGTTGAACGTCCAGCACTTGAGCGTGCTCTCTGCTATATCCGGAGAAACATCTATTTGCAAGTCTTCGCAGCCGCTATGACTAGCACGTTCTCACTTCCCTCACTTCTGTCGGCGCATTCAGTCACTGTTGCAGCGAAGATCCCATGTTGAAGTGTGAACAGCGACCTTCTTAAAGGTTTCAACCCTCATGTGCTGGATCAATGAGCATCGCAATAGGCCGACTTTTTCAATGCGTGTTCCGCAGTTCTGCTTGAGCCCGCAAAGCCCAGTCCTAGTCTCTGGCTGGATCGTTACACGTTGCCACACGTGTCGTTTTGTTGGTTAACTGTTTCATGAGTCGCGAGATCTGAACCAAGGATCCTTGTTGCTGGGCCGCGCGCCACGACGGTGCACCCTGAAATTGTGCTGGGCGTGCACGCAGAAGCTTCCATTTGTCGTTCGATCTGCATATTTTGTTATCTTAATGAGTCGTGAAGACTCGTGATGATCTCATAGACGAAATTGGGTGGGCGCCGGTAGCGTAACGTTCACAGCGTCCTCGCTGTGCTGGCGACGAGAGGCCGGTTGATGTTCCGTCGCACACAGGTCCTAGCACTTATTGAGTCTGCTATTACCCCACAGTCAAAGGACCGCGTCTCCAAGTTTTAGGTTTATGCCCTCTTAAGCGACTAATTCGCAATCGGATTTCGGGCTCTGAACGATACGGGCTCCCATTTGGAAGCTAGACGTTCCGCTGGCTCGACCAAGAAACATCTCCACGATCGTCCCAAGGATGTGTCAACAGCAGCCTATGAGAAGCAGCGCAGAACGTATTAAGCAGCCCGGCTTGCGTTCCCGTTCTTGCCCTTTCGAAAAGGAGCGAGGTACTCGGTTTAAGATTGTTCGCTGAAGGCATGATAGGCCTGCATCGACTGAGTACACCCATGGCACTGCGCACATGCCTTCATTTGCCCGTCACATGAAGAGACAGAACCCATGTGCAAATCACGATAGCTCGCGCAGAAGGTCACTACGGCGCAAAAGCGTCCACTTTCTCCGCCTGTTATGCTGTTGATCAAGTACCCTTTTTCATCCCCATGGGTGGACGATCTGGCGCACGAGCCGGTTCGAAGTAGGTAATGTAAAGGCCCTTTCGCTGCTTGCGCGCCGCAACCGATTTTGTTGGAAGGTTGTGCCTCGCCTCCTTCAACCTCGAATTTTATTTTCTTACTTTGCGCGCTGCTCTGAATGTCAAAGGGAAGCTGGAGGTTGAGACCAGATTTTTATCGATACTGGCCCAGCAATGGACGCGAAAGACAAAGCTAGTGTACCGGCACCTTCGTGGCCTGGAGCGTTTGATGCACCCGATGATCAGATCAACCCAGTCAAAGCGCCGCCGTTCTCAGAACAGATTCTCAAAAATGCGACTTCAGTACCGCCCGTATACGGAAAGGAGGATGAAGCTTCCAGAGCGAATCATATTGAGAATGTTGACGAAGTAGTGGTTGCCGCAGACGAGACAAACGTGGCTGACCACAAGGCCACAAAAGAAACAAGAAAGCAGAGAATAAGGCGGCATTGCATGAGGTATTGGATATGCTACCTCATCGGAAATATTATTCTACTTGCAATCATGCTTCCAATCCTGTGAGTGACTTTGCTGGGACAACGATGATCTAGTATTCAGTCGCGAGGCAGCAAGCTGACCGGAACTTAGTTTTCTCGTCATTTTCCCTGCTATCGCCCAGGACCTTGTTAACAAGCAGGCACTGCAGCTTCACTATGCAGAATTGGTTGATCCTGCACCTCAGCAAATGACATTCGCCCTCAACTCATCCATCACTGTTCCGAAACCGTTCACCGTCGTATTGGATAAGCTTAATCTGAGCCTATTCATTCGCTCATACAAGCCCGAAACTCCCTTTGTATACCTTGAGCTTCCTCAAAATAAGCTGCATGGAAATGCGACGATCGATCTCGCACCTCAACGAGCAAATATCGTCAACAGTCAACAGTGGCTCAAGTTCTTGAACGACTCCGTGTATAATGAAACGATTACCTTGTCGGCGAAAGGAAGTTCTATGGGCCACTTTGGCGCGCTGAAGGCTAAGCTTGAGCTTGATAAGGATGTCCAAATTAACGGTAAATGAGTTGGGCAACTTTGCATGATTTCACAGCTGATGTTTCCACCAGGGCTAAACCAACTCAAGGGATTCGGAGTGGAGAGTGCCCAGCTTCTAATTCCAGCAACCACATCTGGCTATAATCTCAAGTCAACTCTACAGCTTCCCAATCACTCACCGGTGATGTTTACACTAGTATGCACAGTACTTCATTCTCCGTGTTCCTGATATGCTTACAAATTTTCAGGGAAACCAATCGTTCAGCTTGAAGATCGGCACAGTAGTCGTAGGATCAGGGACGATCTTTGATCTCACTCTAGTCCCCAACAATAACACGGCAACACTTTGGGGTAACCTAGATTTCGGAGCCGTGATTGAAAACCTTGAATACATTCTAAATACCTCCGCATCGGCCCTTGCCGCAGGCAATCTGCGACTTTGGACAGTTGGTACCACGACGATATACAACGGGCAAAATATCCCATATTATGAACAAATTCTTCAGGGCCTCGTCTTGCAGGCCGACATTCCGATCACCACTCTCCTGGTTGGGTCGCTGGGAGGCTATCTGAATGGAAGTGCAGCTGGTCTGCAAAACATTGTGGACACTATACCCGCAGCTTTACTGAACGGCTCCATTTCGGTAAGCAAACTTCAAACAGCTTTACAACAAGCCTACAACAACGGCACGGGATCGATCGCGAATATCACAAGCGCGATTGGTACCGTTTTTACAGAAGCTGGACAGCTTGACATCGGTGGTCTCTTCACGGCAATCGGAAATGCGGCAACAGCAGTCACAGATGGCGTAGCCACCGTAGGAGAAATTGCCAATGGTGTCGGCTCTGCGCTGAGCAGCGGAGTCTCGACATTAAGCGGCATCATCTCAGCCCTCAACTTGTCGGCTTTGATTCCCACAGCCCAGGCGGGCCCCACTTGATGAAGTTAGGATATCTTTTTTTTTTTAATTCTTGTTTAGATAGCAATAGTGCCAGCGAAAGCACAACCCTCCGGATCCCGGGCTCGTCTTACGGGATCATCGCTGCCACAGCTTCGACTAAAGGGACTTATGTCCTATTTCTACAGCTGCGATTCTTACTTTCGCAGCGGCCGCTCTTTGAGCTTCATGTGATAATACTGAAGACCGAATTCGTCCCGGTTTGAAATATGTCGCTGTATTCTCCGGACGGAAATTATGAATTTTCCCGTTCAGGACTCGCCAAAAGCTTGGAAAAGATGCGCATCCTTGAATACGGATGAAGGAAGCAACTGCTTAGACTAATACCAGTCTAGAAAAACAAATGTAGCACTATATTTGAAACAATATTATTCCGCCGTCCTGTCGAATTCTTGATGCCCTTTTCCATGACAACATACTAACATCTCTCAGGGCAAAGTGCCTCTGAATAATAAAAACGGTGCGACGTGTGCTTGGAGGCGTGGCTGCTGTGTCGGACGACGTGCCTTTTCCGCTCGTTGGATGTGGTCAAGTTCTTGGTCCCCAAAGACGAGCAGAACGAGCGCAGCGTCATATTCCGTGTTCACACATGTGGATTGCGTCATGCGGGCTGGTAGCGCAATGCTCCGTCAGAACAGGGCCTATTGCTGCGCAAGTGCTGCTTGATATGAAGCTGAGTGCTGCATGGTCAGTTTGAAAACCCGAAAATAGCAGCAGCGGACATATTCTGTCTTTCCACAACAATTCTCTCCATATGACGATGGAAGAAGTCTTTCCACTATCTATCGCTATGCCAGGAGCTGACTGCACGGAGAATCGCTCCAGACCAATGAAATTTTGTCAGTTCCTGCGTCTGTCGTCGCAAATTTCATCTCCTTTATCTCTAAACGTTGAAGGAGATCCTAGTGCGATTTGGAGAAGCGGATGGCAGAAATATATGCTTGAAGTCTGATGTGACAAGATCACGATATCGACGATGTGCGAAAAGGAGTGTAAGCCACTATTGAGGCTCCAAGCACGAAACGCGTCGACGATCAACCGTTGGAGAAAAGTGTTCGACAATGGAGCAAAGGTGACGGGTAGACATGTCTGGAAAGAGCGGCAAATGTACTAGCTGCTTAACAGGGAGATGCAGCGCGGGCCGCGTTGTGAAGGAGACGAAAGGGTTTGCAGGAAGCATTTAAATGTCCCCACGAAAGCCTGCGTGGGGAACAAACGACCTGAATTGCCGTCTTCTGTAGTTTACCGAGTGAGCAAGAATGCTCTTCTGGCGCTAGACCAAGACTTGCTGCATGCAGAGGTACTGTAAGAGTTGGCTCGCTATGCAGTTGAGTAAGGCATGGCACGAACACGAGAGCGCTATTCTCCTCGCGACCATGGAATATGGGGCACCTGCCGATTAGAAAAGGGTTTGTAAAGGCCATGCTAAAACCATTTCGACACGCAGAAACAAGAGGCGTATGCGCATCCGTAATATTCGTGAAGGCATGCCAGGATTTCGCCCAGACATACGACAAACGGGTGGATGCGGAGGCTCATAGAATATGGTCGCGAGGCATTAGATTAGTCTTCCGACGTAAGACTCATCGTACAAAAGGCGTGAAAGATAGAAAGGAGACCTGACAAGTCGTCGACGCAGGCTGATCGAAGCTGGAGCTGGGCGAGGTCGCAGTTGCGCTAGCCGAGCAGGTCTGCAGGACGATTTAAATTACGGAACGCGGTGCCTGTTTGGGGATAGCGTGAGTGCCCGGAAAACCTTCGGAAGCCCGCCCACGGAGCGACGGCGGCCAGAGTCTTCGCATCGTACGACACCCAGCATGCGTCCAGCAGTCGAGATTGATCCCAGTGAGTACGGAGTAAGCGCAAGTAAACGCTGTGATTGACGTCAGTTGATCGTTCGGAACGGCGGGTCGCGCGGAGCCTAGGAAGCCTTTAAAAAAGTCTTCCAGAAACGAAGGCTTCTTTGCGTCTTTCTGTCGTCCCACGCCTGCCAGTTGTTTCGCCGCAATACTTTCCTGGCCGTCATCCCGCTTTCTTTTCGTCATCGCAAAAGGCGTCCTCCAGATAAATAATCTGCCCTGCGTTTGGACAGTACGCCGCCATCCTTCGATTGCTCTCCCCATCGTGCACGCATACGTCTCTTTTTTTTTTTTTTTTTTTTTTTCTCTTCTTGCATCTTATCGCAGCTTGGTTTATTCTCTGATCGACTGTCAAGATGAAGATCCTTACCAAGGAAGAGGAACAAGAGCACTGGAAGTGAGCATTCGCCTGATTCCCCCATGTTGCCATTGGCTCAAGATGTTGACTGCATCATCAGCGCCACCGTCAATGGAGGTATTTTCGGCGGTGTTATGGGCACGCTCGTCGGTACCGCCGGCGTAATTATCCTTCAGCGAAGATACCCTACCTTTCGCGGCCTCACCGTCCCGTTCAGAACTTTCCTAGCGTGCTCCGCTGGTACTTTCGGAGGTAATGATTAGGTCTGGTATTTTAAGCCTTCCCAACGATGCTAACCCCGCCGACATAGCTATCATTGCAGCCGACCGTGCCTCGCGCCAATTCGAGTCTGAACGAGCCCCGGAACGACAACAGAGACTTAATGCTCAAGAACAGCTACAACAGCAATTGGACGAGCAGAAGACAAATCTACAGCGCGTGAAGGATTGGGCCAACAAGAATCGATACACCATCGTCTTCGGCTCATGGCTCGCGTCGATGGGTGTCTCCTTTGCCTTGGTACACCGGAACCCGTACCTGACCGGTGCTCAAAAACTGGTGCAGGCTCGTGTGTATGCTCAAGGTCTCACGCTCGGTGTCCTTTTGACGAGTTTGGCTTTGGAAACAAACGATGCGCGAACCAAGCAGGGACGGTGGGAAACGGTGAAGGTCCTGGATCCGACGGATCCGACGCACAAGCGCTTGATCGAGAAGAGAGTGCATCACGAGCGCTACCCAGGCGAGGACCAATGGATGGGTAAGCACGAAGACGCCTGGCCTTCGAGAACACGCATCCAGCTAACAATTGCACAGATATGGTTGCCGCTGAGGAACGGCGAATGAAGGAGCGCGAAGCCAAGGTAAAAGCGGCCGCAGCCCAATAGTTAGGACACATGCTTTCAACGCCTCGAGACGGCCGATTGACCCTGAACCTCTCTCGCCTCCACCCGCACTCCGGACATGCATCAGCAAGAGTCGGCGTTACATTTTGGGTATAGAGCTATAGGATACATCTTTTATCAGGACTTGCTGCATATGTGGTAGAAAATGAATGGTGTGTATATGTACATATATTAGCGACTTGAGTACTGGCATAAATTCTCTGCTTTCTATCTGATAAGTCGGCTCTTTCTTGGTTTATCGAAGCTTATTCTTTGCCGGCACTAAAGATGTTTGGCATGAAGAATTTTTTTTCCCGCTTCAGAAAAGAACTCGACAGAGGACGCAGGAGCCTTTTTGTGTTTCCATCTCCGCTGCTTCAGGGGTCGGGTGCTCCATCTTCTTCCATGTATCGGGATACGTACCACTTCAGCGTTCCCGATGTTCTATCTTCCGGGCCTTACAATCATAAACCAGTATGTGTTTCAATGAACGTGATCCTCTTCTGAACGGGAGAGGAGATGCAGGTCAATTTGATCATAAAACATAGAATACAAATGAAGCGCAGTCTTCGAAATTTTCAATGTATCGTTTGTCGAGATTTCAAACTAGGGAAGACTCTCAGCCACTGACATATGCCGAAATCGGCCGAGCGCATTGCACATTCTAAGGCTCACATAAGACTCGCCGTACACGACTTATCATAGTCACGAGCTGTCTACTAATTGATATAATGTTCCGGCGATGAAGTCCGTTGTGATTATCGGCGCAGGGCCTGCAGGTCTGGTGACCGCTAAGACATTGCTGCGATGGACAAACACGCCGTTCAAAGTCACCGTCTTCGAAGCGGCAGAGCGCATTGGTGGCATGTGGCGAGGACGAACAGGTGAACGGGGAGCGAAATGTAGCCCTGAGATGCGAACGAATCTCTCAAGGTTCACCGTTGCATTCTCAGACTTGCCCTGGCAGTCTGTTGCTCTGGAAAGTGGCGACGGATATTCAAGCCAAGGGTCGCCACCCCTTTTCCCCAAGGCACATCAAGTCGGCGCGTATCTCGAGGAGTATGCAAAGAAATACATACCAAAGGACGCCATATTTTGCAACAGACGCGTCACAAAGGCCAAATTAAACCATCAACCGAGGGGTTGGACCGTGACCTCGGTGGATACGTTGTCTAAATCAGAGCACGAGGATGTCTTCGACTACTTGATCGTCGCTAGCGGCTTCTTCGATGAACCCAACCGCTCCGTACCCGACGTTGCCTCAAACCCTGGGAAAATGAACTCTGTCCAGCATTCGGCAGACTTTCGGGATGTCGCTTCATTCAGTGAGCATGCTGGAAACATTGTTGTCGTCGGAGGTGGCATAAGTGGCTCCGAAGCTGCAGCTACGGCAGCTTTCCAGATATCCAACGCCAAACATGCGCCTTCCAGACAGAAGCCGGCGTGGTCTGAGTCAAAAGTCTTCCATGTCTTTGATAGACCATTTTACGTCCTTCCCCGCTTTGTACCTCAAGATGCATTTGACAATGCAGCTCAAAAGTTCAATACTGCGCCGAACTTCGTGCCATTTGACATAGGTGTCTACAAACTAGACGGCAGAGGCGATGGCCAAATATCAGCAGCTCTCGGCAGAGTTCCACCAGAACGTGCTTCAAAATCCCACAGTTTCTTGAGATCGCTAGTGGGAGGCGACAATAGCGAGCTTGGACATGCACAGCTTGTTTATCAGCCTGATCAAGTACAGTACCCCGGATTTACAGGTATATCGGATACATATGCTGAATTTGTGAGGTCCGGTTTGATTGTGCCGGTTCAAGGGCGGGCTTCAATAGTTGAGAAAGCGGCCGAGAAATTGGCAGTCCAGGTTCTGCAAGATGGGACTTGGACTTCTCGGTATCCAACAACTGAGGTGCGTGGCTTCCATCGGTACCGAGTCTAATCTTTTCAGACAGCTAAAACTCGTCAGAATCAAAGGAGTATCATTGAGAACGTTACGGGTGTCATCGAGGCCACAGGGTACCAAGTTCAACTAGATTTCCTCTCAGATGAAGTCAAAAAGGCACTTGACTACGATAGAGGATGTCGCCGTGTACCAGTTTTGTTATCACGTGGCTCTATATTTGCACCCGCAATCCCGGAAATTGCCTTCGTGGGCTTCTATGAAGGGCCCTACTGGGGTGTCATGGAAATGCAAGCGCGTACTGTTGCGCAAGTGTGGAGTACTGGCAGAAAGGAAGACACTCTCAGTGTGGGTGAAGCGTCTACTGTCCGAAATGGTATTCGAAACCGGGATCTCGACATTCCTCAATTCTGGATGGCGGACTACGTTGGCCTGATAGAAGAACTGTCCCGCGACACGGGCTGCAGACGCAATGACTCGTGCTGGGAGGAACAAACTGGCCCAGTATTCCCAGCGAGATACACTGGAAAGCAGAGCGACCTTAACGCTGCGGAAAGGACTGTTCGCGAAGTACGTGATTTGGTTGACGCATCAGACAGCGAGACCCGATTTGTAGCGGCCGCTGCGTTCCGAGCCATGCAAGGCTCATGGACGATGCATCGCAAAATCATCTCCAGGAACTCGACCGCACCAGGCGGAACTCTCGTAGGCCAGGCTCATTTTCATCCACGAGAACCTACCGACTCTGGGTTTTCCGCCGAATATCTGTACATCGAAGAGGGCATGTTCACCATGGACAATGGCTATGCGTTTCCGGCAAAACGGCGCTATATATACCGGTGCAGCGAAGCGAAGGATGCCATCACGGCATGGTTCGTGCGGGAGGATGGCGAATCGGTCGAGAAATTCTTCAACCAACTCGTGTTTGAAAGGCCGCAGAGCGAGGGACAGGGATGGATAGCGAAAGGGAAGCACTGGTGCGAGCCCGACATGTACGTAAGCCAGTGCGAGTTCAAGTTCCGCGGTGCGGCCCTTGAACGTTTTGGGATCACTTATGAGGTGAAAGGCCCTAATAAGGACTATACGCACGAGAGTTGGTATGTTAGACCTGGGTATGATATCTGATGAAATGACGACCGTTCCCATGCAGAATGCGGCATGACTTTCATTTGTCGCTTACGTATGTAAAAGCATCGAATCTCTCGGATCAGCGACGAGTATAGGATGCTCTCCCGGCGGGGGTCGAAATGTCCGGTTCTTGAAATGTGCATACAGTTTAAGCGAAATTCAGCCCTTGGTGAGTGATAGAAATTCCTTTGAAAACATATTTTGCAATGAGATTATATTTTACTTCAAATGAGAGATCTGACAATTTCCGGTCTAATGGTCTAGTGGTATGATTCTCGCTTCGGGCACACCGAAGTCCTCGAGCTAAGCTTGATATGCGAGAGGCCCCGCGTTCGAATCGCGGTTAGACCCGTTTTTTTGCCCCAGTTCGTTGGGCTCCATCCTTTTTTGCTTGCTCCGTAATCATCCATTTTATAAAAGTTTTCGAGTCAAGCACATCATAGTCTTTAGGCATGATTTTGCACTCGCCCTCCAAATGACGCCACATGTAGTTCTAAACTATGTAGACATTGTGAAAGATAGCATTAAATCTGCTCGACCAATCTACGAGTCAATCGTCTCCGCTTCGATGATCCATTGAATTACGACGTTAAGAAGCCTGATTGTTGCCGTCTGCAAATTCCTAGTGTACATGCAAAAGCCGTATCCGAGATACAGGCTTATGTCGAGGTTTTGAGCAGCTGCCGTTCTCGCGCGTTACACCATGCGTCAAGATGCTCAGCAATCTGTCATCCTGCTGCTCGTACTGGGACTTCTCCTTCGTCTCTCGTCTTCTCTCCTTCTCTCGTACCTGCCACGCCGCTCGCCGTCGTCCTTCCTTCTGACAGGCGACCGTGATCTAGATCTCGACCTGCGACGCTCCTCGCGCCTGCCTGGTCTGTATGACTCGCCTCCAGGACGATCGGTCAAAAACGTCATTCCACCGTCTTGATGCGAGCGTGGCGGAGGGGCTCGTTCATGACTGCGCTCTCTGCACCTGCGCATGCCGCTTCGTGAGCCATCACGACGGCGATCGTCCCTGCGGCGATCGTCCCGCTCTCTGCCCCGATAATTATCATCGTAATCGTCGCGCCTCTCTCTGTCCCTGCGTCTATTAGTGAGATCATCGTAGCGGCATCTATCCCGTCGTCTATCCCCTCGATCGAATGATCTTTCAAGTCTCCTCTCGTCGCGGTCCTCAGATCTACCTCTGTGTCGCTCTCGACCGCGGTCTGAGTCTCGCTCACGATACCGGTCGCGGTCTCTCTCATGATCATGCTCTCGCGATCGGTCCCGTCGACTATCCTCTCGATCGAATGATCTTTCACGTCTTCTTTCCTCGCGGTCTTCAGACCGATCTCTGCGGCGCTCTCGATCTCGGTCTGAGTCTCGGTCACGATGACGATCGTGGTCCCTCTCATGGCGACGTTCAGGCGATCTCTCGCGTCGCCTGTGCTCCCTCTCTCTGCTTCGCGATCGATCTCTCCTACGCCTCTCTCTGCTCCGACTTCTTGACCTCCTCCGCGTTTCCTTTCTACCTGCTCCAACATCGACTAGGTTTGGATTCTCTTCTACTGTCGTTTTCGGGGGCAAGCCTAGTGCTATTCTTCTAGCTTCTTCTTCTGCCTCTTTGACTCGACGAATTTCCTCCTTTCTCTTCGCCTCAGCATCATCTTCGTTTCCGTTCGCTTTCGCGTACCAGCTGAGATCCTTGCCTTTCTGCCAGCGACCAACTGGAGCCATGAGCGAGTGTCCGAGATAGTTCTCCCGGTGCTGGGATGTTTGCACATCGGACCATTTGAAGTCTGCCCGTCCGCCTCTGTGGATAGATTAGATTTCGTAATGTCTTATGACATGCTAATGAGAAAATCCTACCTCGAGCCTTCCTTGCGCACCGTGTTGAGAAGATCCATTTTATTTGCTGCGAGCTTTGTAACAAAGAATGATGTTTTACGTGGTGTGAGAATCGCGGGCTACCCCTAGCTTCGTAGAGCAGTGGAGCAGACAAACTAGGCGGTCAGGCCACTGAGCTAACCTGCGGAAGCTGGCAGGGAGGCGCCAGCAAGCAAACACAGTAGAACTAGAATAGGGTCTAGTTTCTAGCTGAGGCCTCCCCGCAAACACATAACTTCTTGGTCTGAGAAGCTTCTCAAACCTTACTGTTGCTCGCGAAAGCGCTAGCTGCGAAATCACCTTTTGTCTCAATTAACAATTTCTTCCCATTTGCGATAGTTGCAATGTCAGATGAACCTCTCGAAGACACGCTATGGGTATTTCCACCAGAATACTATCCTTGGCTAGACGGCATAAACCACGAGCAGCACTTCCCCACGCCCGGAATTAATGCAGAAAATGTCCACTTAGTTTTCAATCTATCGCCGTTCTGCACCTCAGAGAGTGCGAACAAGCGCTTCGAGATGCTTGTTAACCGAAAACCGGAGCTACTTCCTCGCTACTTCAACAGAGAGGCGTTTGAGCAAGAGATTGCGGAGTTTCCGGGAGACAGTTTTGTAATTGTGGCAGGTCCACGTAAGACGCCGAAAAATGGAGAGGAGCCAAATCTGCTGTGGGTTGTTGAGAGGCGATATACAGTGTTAGATCGGGGGGCTATCGAAGAGAGTGAGAAGAAAGTCGTGGAAGTTCGGGGCCATTATGTTATTGTGGCTGACAGAATTTTTGCTGCGCCAACCCTTATGGATATCGTACAGTCACGATGGGTATGTTTATTCTCATCACTCCCTTTTGTCTTGCCTTTTGCTAAATTAGCTTGGGGAAGACGGCATCTATGCTACACCTTTCCACTTTCTACCGAACAGCGTCCTCCCTGCCAATATACTCTATTGAGAAAGGGTACTCCTACCTCGCCGCCGATCAGATGAAGAAGCCTGGTAAAGGCGGTAGTTTCGCAACGAGTGCTCTGGGCTCTGCACGCACAAGCCGCGCCGCCTCGCCTGTTGCTGGTGACGACACGTCGAGTCTCCCTAACACTCATCATCAGACACATAGAGAACTTAACGATGATGCCCAGATCGCGCACTCGTTCAATCTCACGCTGTCTTACTCAGACGAATTTATGGATGAAAATCCGCTAGTCGGTGAGCCAGGCTCTTTCAAACTCACCGCAACTGGTAGGAGTATCCGCGAGAGGGAGGCCAAGGAACGGGCTGCCGAGGAAGCTAGAGAAAAAGCCAGGAGTGAGTTCACAAACAAGAGTGAAATTGGTGACAGCCAAAGAATTAGCGTGGCACCCAGTTCACCCTCTGCGCTTGGGGCTAAGACGAATCATCTTGAAAGGAAGGGGACTGGACTTAACAGCGTGGTTGGTAAAGGGAAAAGTCCAACCAGTACCACGGGGGAGGGGCTGAAAAAAAGAAGAAAGAGCAAGGCCCCTATCACACCAGGGACTATGAAGTCGCCTTGATCTGAAGCAAATAAATCATTGGATTTGGCTTCGACCTCGGAAAACCTTCGAATTATATGCATATGATACCCCATTATTTCTAGAAGACAGACTCAATAGGATCTTTTATTTGTAGCCACCAGCGTCCTCGTCTGAGCAGTCCGATCAAAGGCTCGAAAAAAAAGCGAACTTCTCCGAGTTCTGAGGCCTCGGGTTCCTTTCACTGAGACTAAGAAAAGAATCAAGTCCGTGTAGACGTGTAGCTATTCAAATGTTATTCTTGCATGTTGACTGTCTTACGCCACCGGCAAAACGTTCCTCTAGAAGCTCAAAATTACAATGTATCAAGACAAGTTTGCCAAGATCATTCGCAAGCAGGGTGTGCCCGTAAATGCTCCACAACGTGATCTTTGAGAACCTTCCAAGGGACAAGGCATAGTGCAGTATCAGACCTTTGTCGTAATGCATTTTTCGTAAGTTGTCATTACCTCTCTGACCCTGTCCAAAGTCTGCTCATCTAGACCCAATACGTCCCTGAAATATCCATCTGCTCCATTCCACTTCTCCTGCGCTGCTTTCAGAAACGCAATCATGCTCTCCTCCCTCGCCCCGGACATTCTTGCCGCTCGGTAGTCTAACTCGTTCTCATCAAAGCTTGCTGCAAACTTTGAGTTGCTCCTTAGACGCGCAACGGTCTTCGCACGTGTAGGAGCAAGGCCTTGTTCACTGAGAGCGTACTCAGCACACACTATCGATCCAGGAACTTTCAGGAAGGATAGTAACATCGCGATAAAAGGGCCTGTGCGATTGTTTCCCGTTGTGCAAGATATGTATATGCCTTGGGCTTCATTCTCGGGACATGTTGAGAGGCAGGCAATATGCGTCATGATTTGTTTGAAAGCCTTGGTGCCATGTGTCAGGATTTCGGTGAATGCTTGAACGATACCCTCTGTTCCATCGCCGGCGTACTGTTGATATCGCAGACCCGCCTTTTCAACCGTGTATTCTTCTTCGCCAAATATAGGTGTCCAATATCGCGTCACACCCGGAATCTCACGTATCGTCCCGGCACGATCAATCTGCTGTTGAGAACGCAGATCAAATTGCGTTGATATGCCCTGCTCTCGGAACTTTTGACAGCCTGATTGGGTGATTTGCGTAGAGTCTGAGCCTCTAAATATCAACCCCTTACGAACGCGAGCCATGCCAAAATTTGAAAAAGAGTCAACAATGGGGTATCCTCCTATATCGCGGACATTTGGTAGATTCGGAATGTCGATAAATGGGTTTAGTTCTTCAAACTCTTGCATTGAATAGTCTTTGAGGTCAAAATCCTTAATTACAGATTTTACCGGAGCCATATAAAAGGAGCCAAAGATTTCATGGAGTTTCTTTGTCGCTTTATCTCTAATTGCAACATTATCTACAAAGTACTGCAGAGCTCGAAATGGTGGGGTTGGCGCAAGCTCTTCCTTTCCAGGCTCCACTGTTGCTCTAAGCAATGCGTTGAATACCAGAGTCATGAGATTTATCATATGCTTGATGTAAAACGACCTGAGTTTATTCACGAAAAGCATTTTGACACAATTCCAACGTCAGCACGAACAGATCGGGGCGGGCCGCAGACCACGAACTTTTGAAAGATGCCCCCGCTTTCGGCACGCGATGGCATCCACTTGTGATCTCAACATCTCACAGATCCTTTGCTCGCATGCATCAGTTACCATGCGATCTTTACTGCTCTGTACAGCATGACGAGCGCCATGGGAGCTGCAACCGAATCCGGTATAATTAATACTTCCCCTCCAAAGACCCCTCAATGGCCTGCTCACAACGCACCACGCGTGTGGTTCCTTACAGACGGCCTCTCTCCGATAGCAATATCTCTGTCGCGTCATTTGTTAGAGCACGGTGACTATGTCGTTGCAGCTATTCTCCAACAGGAATATGACACACCGAGGTCAGAAGAGCTGAGGGAATTTTTGCGCGAGGTCGCGAGCGACGGCACAAATCGCAGAGTTGGCGATGATGTCGAACCGGAAGATGATCAGCAGGGCGACGCAGACTATGAAGAGAATGGCGAGGCGCGAGAATTTTGTGAAGAGCCAAATGACGGCAGTGCGGGCGATGGGAATACAAACAACAGAAGAAACGAAAAGTCGAGGACGCCGAGGAAGAGATGGCGCGACCGCTTCAAAATTGTAGGCATGGACGGAAGGTAAGCCAAATTGGCCTGTTTGAATATCTTACTTCAATTATAACATAGTGATCGTTTTCTTTGCCTGTAGGAATGTCGGCCAATGTCAATCCGCCATCGCAGACGCACTTGCTGCTTTCCAACGAATCGACATTTTGCTCATTTGCCGTTCAGAGGCGCTAATAGGCACAATCGAAGAGTTAGACCAATCGTATAGAGCGCAATGCCTTGTCAGAGACCAATTCGAGACGAACTTCTTTGCACCTGTGAATATTATACGTGCGCTTCTTCCAAGCATGCGCGAAAAGAGAAATGGGCATATCGTAGTATTAACGGGTATCTGTGAGTTTCAAAGTCCGCATAGCAAGTCCGTTGAATTTATCTAATTCCCGTCTTCAACAGCCGCACACCTTGGAACACCTGGACTTGCCATGTACTGCTCCTCCCAGTGGGCCCTAGAGGGCTACTGCGACTCTCTATCTTACGAGATTGCCCCTTTCAATATTAAAATGACCATTGTGCAACCAAACCTAGAAATTCCTGTTTTAACAAACAAGATCACATCGGTACCACCGATGGCGGAGTATTCTCCGGATGCTAACGGAGCACCGTTAAGCAGAGAGATTCTATCAGCTATTCTGGACAAACTGGAGGGAGACATCCCGCCACTTCCCACAGCCTTTGAGACGGAAACCCCAAGCACAGGGATAATAAATCAAAATGATTTCACCAGTCCAGCCGCAAGTGCAATGACGGCGTCCACCCCACTCGGTTGTGATGATTCCATCTCCTCTCCATTGGGAGCAACAGATCGGCCATCGTCTACTGGCCTTACCCAAGGCGATCTCTTACATGCCACTACGGTGACTTCTCTTTTCCCAAATCTACCACCCTCCATGAAGTCCCCCCTCGTTTCGGAGACAGTTTTCGCCATCGCCGCAATCGGAGGCCATGACAATCCACCTAGCAGGCATATCGTTGGACACGAGGGCGTAGCAAGTGTAAAGGAGAAGTTAAAAACTATTAGCGAGGAACTGGAAGACTTTTTGGGCGTCAGCGGAGCCGTCGATATTGGAGTTGACCCTGTGGGGATAGCTCAGAGTGGTGAAGTCGATCGGTGAATTCGCGAATAAATTGCGAATACTCAGCTAAATAAATGGATGCTTTTGTTTGTCTTCCAACGAGCAATCGAACTCAGCGATACTCCATTGGAAGTCGTCCACAAACTATCTATTCGATTTGGACAGTCTCAAGTGGCAAAGCAGATAGGGCAGGAAGGTCACTGGAACAGACGGCACCTATGCGCCTGAACAACATCGGATGTTCAGGACTTCTTCCGAGAACGATTCCATACAGCCGCATCGTTTCTAACTCAAAGAAGTCTTGGCTTTCTACAGTCTCATCTGTTGAAAAGCACCAAAAACAATACACAGCATCAGAAAAGCTACTGGCCAGAGAAGATGCCCTTGTGATCACGCTGACAACTGAACCGCCTAAATGACGGGTCTGCGTTTGCTCAAGTGCAGTGTCAGCAAAAAAGAGCAATTGCTAACTATGATTCAAAGGCTCGAGAGCAAATTCTGGCATTCCGTTCTCATCCAGTCTTTCGATACATTCGAGTTTCGATTCTTCGAATGGCGCTTTTACTTCAAGTATTGTAGCTCTTAGCTCCCCAAAAGGACTGACCTAAGGTTTTCCGCCAACGAATCCTATAGCACTGCAAAGAATATCTACTTTGGTGGTAGTTTCATCTATGGTATCCAATGGGAAGGCAATTCCTCCATGAAAGGAAGCCCAGGATCACGTGGGCGCTTGGAACATAGCAGGAGGTTCGTCGAGTTTTACCCAACCCAAACTTGACCCAGGCTAGGTCAACATCGATTGTCTTCCACCACATTCCCGAAAATGTAATCGGAATCATCGTGTGATTTCAGGTGAGAGAAGTCTCCTACAGATGGGAGATGTAAAGAAGCTTGGGAGTAGGATAAGATAGTTAGGATAAGGGTATATTAAGATAGAATAAATAGGGAAGGTAATGTTACGAAGTAACATAGGAATCACGTGAGATGATCATACTGATCATGAATGATCAGGATGATCAGGCTGCATAAACTAAGGAACTATGATTTGTCAATGGGTTCCTGACGAATTAAAGATACAAGAAGTGATCAGTTTGATCATAAGTGATCAGGGTGATCACTCAATCTCGTCTTCTATAAAAGAAGGTATTTCCCCAGTCGCTACGGAAGTCGTAATTCAACTGTCTAGTTTATGTAGTTTGTTGGTTTGAATATATTCTCATATCTTGAAGCTCATACTACTCTAAACTAAAAATATAACTGTCTTATTATACTTCCTTCTATAATAAGCCTCAGTTATACCTTATTCCTTTGCTCTAGGAAGCTAAACCCTTCCGAAGTGGTATACATTAGTGACGCCAGTCGGTATTAGGAAAGTATTCCTAACGAAAGTTGAATTACCGTTATCCAAATAGGGCAAGGAATAATATCTTATATCTACTGTCTCTAAGGGAAGTAGCGGGAGTCAACAACAATCTGGTCCACCGAGAAAGAGGGTTAAGGTAGCTCAAGTAACAGTGACCCCAGCATGGCACACAGCTTTTAACAATCAGCTTAGGTCAATCAGAGATGATTGCGATCCGAACCGCCTCACGCTGGCAAGCATAGTAGGTCGATTCAAGGCAATGCAGCTAAGCAAGTATAGCCAGCGCCAGCATACCAAGGCAGCCTAAGCAACTTTCCAGGGCCGCAAGCACGATCATGAAGATAGTGACCCCTCAGCTAATTGATCGGATGGTTCACATTAGCTAAAGAAGAAAAGAAAGGCAAATAGATTAAGTAATAAGGACAGTGGTGAGTGAGATACTTAACTATCATCCAAGCAGAAGCTGCAACAGAGGTGTATATGCGGGAGGGGTCATCCATATACCAAATACTATTATCTCGTCCCCATAATAGCACCATCCGATTAGAAGCCGAGAGAGGCTGCTCAAGCAAAGATTATCAGTTTGCTATAAGGCAATCAACAACTCAATAATACTATATAAGCGGCTCTAGATAAGACTAGCATTAAGATACCCGACTGGTATCCCAAGCAAGATACAGGCAAGTCTAGATCTACTATATCAGTAGGCCGAGCTGCATCTGGAGTGCAGCGGCTTACTATATCAACAGAAACAACCACAGATAATGCAAGCTTATTCCGCCTCGATTCATGCTCAAACACGCATGTGTGCGATGATCATAAGAGATTCGAAAAACTGACTCTGATTTAAGATAAGGAGGTCAAGGTTGGCAACACCTATATAGCAATTCAAGGCATAGGGATAATCACTATAGCAGTAAATGGCTTGTAAGGCTGAATGCTGATCAACCTACATAATATCGCCTATTACCCCAGGTTTCATGTTAATCTGGTTTTTTATCCTAGGCTCAAAGCTAAGAGGGTGAGATGGAATGATGAGATCTGATGGCTAACACTGAACGGTAAGCGCTACATACAGGTGTTTGAGTAAGATGGATGGCCTATTATTGAGTATGCAGAAGTTTCAACATCAAAATCACTAGCGATGGCTAGCAGCAAGTAGCCTCTATTCTTATTAGTATTAATTGACCGATGGCATATCTAGTTAGGCCATCCTAATATTGAGGTACTTAAGTACCTTAAATAGTATACTAAGGGAGTCAAGATGACAGCATGGCCATCGAAGCTGGTTAATCAGCTATGTGCCGAATGCATCCAGGGACAATAGCGACGTCATCGACAGCTAGCTCCAGTTGATCCCGGTACCTATCCTTTTGAAAAGGTCCACTTTAACCTTATCAATATCGAACAAGTATTCAATATTGACCAATGGGTGCTACATTTCTATTATGCTTATTCAGGTTTTTATATGGTATATACCCTATCATCAAAGAATGGATTACTTCTAGCCTAAGCAACAGAATTATTTATAAAGCTAACACAAGCCTGGGGCTATACCATACGGCAACTGCATTCAGATGATGAACAAGGGCTGAATCAATAATGATTCAAGCTAATTCGATCAAATATCATCACACATCACCCATCAGCACCGTATACGCCTGATCAAAACGGCGCTGCTAAACGATCTGGGGGGGTAATCATGACAATAGCTCGAAAGATACATCTTGAATCCAAACTACTGATCAGCCTTTGTCCTTTCTTTGTTAACCATGCTGTCTGTATAGCAAATCGGCTACCAATCCAACGCAGATAATGGCTCATACCATACAAGATGGTGCATGGTAAGCCACCTAACTTAACTGGCTATAAGACAATCAGTTTAAAGTCATACGTGCTAATCAAGAATGAGAAAGAAAGACCAAAACGGCACAAGCTGCGCAGCAAGTCGATTATCGGCTATCTCCTCGGAGTCGAATCTATAAATATATATATTATATAGCTACCGCAGCTCAATTGAGTAATCTATGTGAGAGATATTATTATTAATGAGCAGCAACGCTATAAAGCTAATGAACTAACTGGCCAAATAAGCACCGACTCCTTAAACCTCCTATTAACCGTAAATGAGATTGATCTAAGCGACAGCGAGATCAAAGAGGCAATTAGCCGAGAATATGTAGAGCAACCACAGCCTGATCAACCTCAGGTCATCTCGACGCCGCTACCAGAACCGGGAGAGACCCCAGAGGAGTGTTACGAAGTAACACGTGAACAATCACATGATGAATGATTGCGATCATTTCGCTCAAAAATGATCGGAATGAGCGCATTAGCTAATGGCCGAAGACCAAGGTGTTGCTGATTGGTGGAAGTGATCATTTCGCTCAATAATGATCAAAATGATCACTGGGTATAAGGCAACAAGGATATCAAGAACGAGGTCTATATAAACATCCTGTCTCTACCGAGATAACGCTCTTCGTGATTTAACTGTCTAGCATAGCTAGTAGTTAGTTTGAATACATTCTCATACTCTTGAAGCTCAGACTACTCTAAGTCATAAACATAACTATCTTATTGTATTCCTTCCACAATAAGCTCTTGTTATACATTGTTCCTCTGCTCTAGGAAGCTAAACCCTTCCGAAGTGGCTTACATTAGTGAAGCTAGTCGGTATTGGGAAAGTGTTCCTAACAAAAGTTAAATCACCGAATCATTGGATAGGGCAAGGAACAATATCTTATGTCTACTGTCTCTAAGAGAAGTAGCGG